GCATTTGAAATGTGCTGTGTTTGTTTATTGTAACAGCTGTAAGTTCAATTATTTATAAGAATGCCTTATCCAAGCTGGTGTGTAATGATGCCATTTGTTTCATTTAGTAAGCTTTCAGTGCTCTGTCTGTGCTGTCTTAACACTTGCTGAAGAGTGTGTGGAAGCTGTTGTCTTGTACAGAATTGGTGTGATTATTCAATGTGCACTGCTTGCTTACTCACAGGCTTTTCATGACTTTTATTCTTAGGAGCATAATGTCTTCTGAAGGAATGACAGGATGTTCTTTAACCCTTAAAATGTTCTTTAACCCCATAAAAATGACAGACAACATATTTCAGTATTCCAGAATAAGAGAATAATGATAGTTGAAAAGAGAGCCGATTGCCTGGGTTAACCTGAGCTGCCTGCTCTATTCTAAGTTTTTTCTTTCTTGTCACATTTTATATGATGCAAGGTGAGAAGTGCACAGGAGATGTGTTTTTCCAGAAAGTTCCTTTAAGCAGAGGAACATGCTGGTGGGAGGCACTGACTGCAGTGCAGCTCTTTGCCCACTTTCCAGATTTGGGACTCTACATTGCTGACGTGGCTCATTGAAGAGGAGCATTTGGGTCAGGGACACTGATGGCATTGTGAGAAAGGGTCTGAGCCAGGGTGAAACAAGTGAATGCTGCCAGTGATGTGTAAGACCTGACCAGGTGAAAAGTAAGTTTTGCGATTGCTAATCATCCTTTTAGTCTGAAAGCTTGCAATTTTTCTGATAGACTCAACTCATACTTTATACTAATATACATAAGATTTTGATTTTTCATTTAAATGCATCCACAAAACACTTAAAGCTCTTCTTGTATTTCGAGAGAAAACTTTGAAAATGTGAAAAACTTGAAACTGAGAAAAATAAAGGGTCTACATCTCAGGAATATAAGGGACAAACACAGTAAGTTTTGAATGTTCATCTCATGCATAGCAATTGGTTTAAAATGCTATGTGAGTCACCAGAGCTGTCAGTAATAACAAGGGAGGAAAAGAAGTTACTTTTCCCCACACTCATATTAGACCACCAAAAATAACGACTGCCCACGACTCTTAGCTGAGATACCAGTGACCTAAGAGCATATGTCCTTGCTCAGAACTATTAATGAGCTGTTTGTTACCCCTGCCTTTGTAGGGGGAGTATTCAAACCTTTAGAGCATGTGAGATAATCCAGACAGGCTGTACAGAAGTGGTTGCCACTTATCTGCATTCCTCCTAAATAGGCTTCTGAACATGCTGCTCTCTTTTCCACACCAAGTAGGGAAAGAACTGCAGCCTTGGAGAAATGTGTTGGGGGTGAAAGGGAGGAAGGAAAAGTTAAACATCCGTCTAGAGGTAGGACTGACCTGACAAGGAGTTGCTGTATGTTATGTATGGACATTGGCATGTTCAGGGTTACAGCTGCTGGTTTATGCCCTGAGGAATTCATTACCTTTCATTGTGTTTTGCATGTGTGCAGCTCTGAAGCCTTTGTTGCTCTGTCTGTTGTTTCAGGAAGGGCACTAATTCCACTCTGGCAAGGACACACTGGCTAGCTGGTTGGAGCAGGGAGCTGAAAGGAGACATGTAGGGGTTTTGCTTTAGAGTACTTTTTCTAGTATTTTTTTTTTCTTTGCCTGATCTGGCAATAGGGAGTTCTCAGTTTTTAACACTGACATGAAGGACCTCATTCTTGGCTCCCTTTGAAATGCTCCCTTCTGAAGTACTGCTGTGTGTCTGCAGGAACAGCTTGGCCATGAAAGTTCTTGAAGGGAGCAGCAAATGATTCCAGACCCACCTGTTTCCAGGGACAGCCTGTCTGCCCAGCCTAACAGGGACTAGTCTACCTAAGGATGTACCATCCAAACATCCCTAGCACCCTGGCTTACAGCATGTGCCTTCCCAGCTGGTACAGGCCAATACTTGGATGCACCAGTGCCGTGGAGCCCGATGTGTTACCTGGCTGGACTGTCCATCTGATCCCAAGAGCAGCCCTAGGACTGAGATAGGCCTAATAGGACTTCAGTTTGTGGTTTGGATCAAGTATGTGGCAGACAGGTAGAATAACTCTGTAGCCCTGATGCAATAAGGTGCCACAGCACGTTCTCAACTCCAAACATGCACTGTAATTTTGTCAATCTAAACAGGAGTTATTTCTACTTGTATGCAGCAGATCTGTGTGCAGATTCTCAGCTGATCAAAGTCAGCTTTTAAATGGAGTTTCTGGAGTTAGACCAGTGCAGGGACTTGGGATTGGTTACTCTCACCCTGAGCATGCTGAATCCATTCTGTGTATGGGAACTCGAACTAAGCACGTATTTGAGTGCTTGAAGGAAGCTGATTAGTTTCACAGTAAGTGAACACTGGATGCTTGTTATTTTAATTGAATTCCATAATTGCTAGTAAGTGTGGGGATATGTGGAAAAGTAATTTTTCCAGATCCAATCTAGATCTAATGAGTTTGTACCCATCTTCCATTTAATTTTAGCAATCTTCTTTAATTATTGCTTTGGTTTTTTCCTCAAATCACTTGTTTGTAAAAGGTAATTTAATCTATTAATGCTAAATAGTTATGCTTCTTTTTGGTGTGAATTTTTTCCTAAATGCTTTTCTTAGTGAAGGTCAGTGCTTTGCACTGTAAGCAATGTCAAGACTTGAATCAAAAAGACATGATGGAAATCAGAGTTTTATGGCAGTTGTGATGTCACTGTTTCCAAACAAATGAGACTTTTTAAAAGGGTGAAGCATGTGGTCATGAGTTTAATTGCTCCCTATTGTGGGAGGGGAAGTGTTGCTCTGGCATTGCAATAGCAGTGGACCCTGCCTTTGCCTGGACATTATAGCCAGTAAATTCTCTTTCCTCTCCTGAAAAGATAATATATTGAATTATTTTCCCCCACTCCTTTTTAATCTTGCATACCAGAGGAAGGCATTGCAACCTCTTGGGGATGCTTGGAGTGGAAGAAATTCTGTGTTGACTTGCATGAAGCCCATGGGGAGGGCCAGTGATGAGTTAAAACACCTGGGTATCAGCAACCTCCTCAGCTTCAGAGAGAGGTTGATCCTAAAGCTGAGATGAGATTTACTGCAGTGTTGCCCCTTCTTGTGCTTCTCTCCTGGCCCATGGAATGACTGGTAGTTATCCCAGTGAGTTAATGTGTATCATTTTTCTATGGGTAGGAAAGCACAGAGTTGCTATAAATATCCTTAATCTGGATAACATAATTTTAGACTGCTTCTTTTTGATTTGCTTGAACTAAGGCATCTTTCTGGAATGCAAACAGAGATCAGAATAATGATCAGAAGGATCATTATTACTAAGTATGTTTGTCCACATTTTCAGGCTGTGTCAACCATTACTATTTCAGGGACTCACATCTAATATGAAATGGTAGAAATAAAAAGCAGATCCTGTATGGGCAGGCAAAATCAGGCAGCCTTTCTAGTTGGACTCAGTTTTTGTTGTTGACTGATTTTATACTGTACTCCCCATTTTACATTGTATTTTACTGGGATCAGCTTGGAGCTAGGCTGAATCCTGCTGAGGATTCATGAACCCACAATGTATGTCTTATATGGGTATTTTAGTGAAGGAAGTATTTAAACAATTAAGTGTTGGCAGCTATTCCTAGGGTGGCTTGCTGGGGAGCTCAGATATTGTCTCATTTCATAGACTCATCTGTTACTATACTTGCTTGTTGGGTTTTCTTTCCTTTTGGGTGTCTGTTGAACATGCTCATTATATTCTGGCTGGCATGAAACAAATGCTGGTTAGGAAAGGAGGTGCTTGAGGCAGGAGAACAAATTCAATTCCCTGAAGGGAATTTTCAGCTCTTACAATGTTCCACTGCTGCCTCCAATTCATGTAAAAGGAAAAAAAGGAAAAGTATTTAAGTATTTCCAACTCTGTTGTTTAGTTTCTTGTTCCCCAAGCAATTTTCCCTATGCTCCTCACTTTGGGCTTCTTGGTTTTGCATGATTTTCTGATTTCAGATGCATATTTCTATTGGTGTCATGAAAGCCATAAACTGTGTGGAGCTGCACTTGATCTCACTTTATTTGGGGGGGGGGGGGGGAGAGATGGAGATTGGAACACAAAATTAAAGGACTTTTAATTCAACCTAGGATCTTTAGAGAGTTGAGCAATCTTGTCAAACACACTTTGTTTTTTTTTTTTAAAGTGCTCTTTGGCTATTCTAACCACCAATCAGTGACATTGAAACCTGTTTGCTGCAGGTATCAGATCCCTAAAGGAGTGAGGACAGATAGGCCTCACAATTGTCCTCCACAGATTGGCATCACCATGAAAATTGACTTTTTCTTCTGATCCCCATCTGGTGCTTTTTCTCTTGGGTTGGCAATTTCACTGCCTTTGGTAACAGGAGAATTAAACCTTCCAGCTGTCACCTTTCACTTACTGGAGTCTGATCCTGAAAATATCAGTAGTACTGCACAGCTGGAAATGATTGGTGCAGAAGTTATAATATGCATTTTAACAAGTGCATCTCTTCTGTATTGTTATATCTTTCAAAGGAGATACTAGCTTTCATATGAGCAGCAGATTGCCTTGAAATATGGAAGAGCTTTAATTTGAGGGTTTTAGTTTAAAGCTTTTAGTGTCACTTTGATTTTGTAAAATTCTCTCAAAAGGTGATGCACAGTTTAAATATTAGAAACCAGTCAGACTTGAACTTTGCCCTTTATAGACTCTTAGACTTAAATTACTATCTTTCAATTTCATATGAAGATAAGTCTTAAAGTCTGGAAGCAGTGCTTGTATTGGTTAGAAATAATCTTTAATTTATGATAATTATCAGCAAAAAAAAATTATATGGTGCTTGACATGAATCCACTTGGCATTTGAAAGTAATTTTTCAAAAGAAACTATGACTGTTACCTTGACTCTGTGGTGAATGTTTGGCATTGTGTCCAGTGCTGTCTGGACAGACATGAAACATAAGGTAATCATTCTGCCTTTCACTCTAAACAGACATAAACAAAATCCAGAAGTGGAAAAGGCTAGTCCCTCTGCCACAATGAGCTCTGGTGAGTCTATGTTGTTTTCTACTTGCATTCATTGGTGTTCTTTTCTATTGGTAATATTTCTGTTTGTTTCTGATGCAATTATTCACATTTGTTACTTGAATTTTGGCCCAAAAAGTAGCTAGAAACATCGTGAACTGGAGTAGGTCCTGTAGCTTTTTTCAGTGTGGAATATAAGAATTCAAAATTACTGATAACCTGAAAAAATCAGCTGAATTTGATATATTTTAGTAGAGATGAAAACATAGTTTGACATATGGATAGGAAAAAAATCAGCTGTTCAAAGAAAAACAAGGGACTGGGAAATGGGAGCTGATTGGGAAGAGGAAAACTTCTGGGCTTGTCTGGGTAACAGACTAAAACAGGATGAAAAATAAAGCAGATGCCAGACTTGAAGAGAGATCTGTAAGATCTGTAGAATGATATTCCCACTTAATTTTAGCATCTTAGCAAGTCTCGACTAGGGTATCATGTCCTGGTTTTGGCACAACATTTTGAAAAAAATGTGAACTATTTGAAAAGAGTCCAGAAAAACATGACCTGGGAATTCAGTGTAAGCACTGATAAGCTTACAGGCTGGTAAGCACCGGAACAGGTTGCATTAGGGTGGTGCTGGAAGTTTGTAAGAACACGTTAGGCAAACATTTGTCAGGAGTGACAGAGGTAGATTTGTTTCATTCATGTTCAGAAACAGGGCTTTAGATGAGCTTTGGAGCCTCTTTCTAGCACTGTCTCCTGTGTTTCTCAGAATTTGCAAGAGCTAGTTTTATTCATGTCAGCTGAAGACCTTTTAGACTTGCAAAAATCTTGACTGAAAACCACTGCATTTGTCTTACAGAACATGAAGAAATTGATGTTACAAAAACTGTTGTCAATGGGCTGAGCAGCAATGGACAAGAAAAAGGTGGGTTAAGATCTCCAGAGACACCTCCAGAGCTCCTCCTGCATGTCAGCTGCTGATGTACTTGATTTTCCCGGAAATTCACTGCAGCGGGGGCTTCCAAATTCAGTTCACTTGGCGACAGACACAAGAAAAGTCTTGTACTGCACTATGCTAGTAACAGCAGCATTTCTTAGCTCAACAAGAGTTCTTTGTCTCTTTAAAGTGGCAGGCTGGACTTGCCTCTTTGTATATTTTTAGTGCTGTGTGAGGAAAGCTGTACACTACTTGTGAGCACCTGTGAATCGGTATCTTAGTGAGTTGAGACAGCATGGGTGTGTGGTGCCTGGGTGTGAACTGTGTTAACTTCAGGGAGAGGTGAAGGTCTGAGTCTGGGATTAAACAGCAGGAACTAACCATTTAAGTGATGAAAAAAATCTAAACAAACCAGTCTTCATGTTAACATCAGTGGGTTTGCAGTGTGCTTTGTAGCATTCAGTTTTGTGGAGTGACTGTGTCTGTTTTGGCAGAGTGAAAGTATGTGGGTATGGACTGATTTTCTGTTGGTTTAACTTCCTTTCTTTTCCTTTGATGCCTTTTTATAGTGGTTAGTATTTTGACTGCATTGTGGATGGATGAATTCAGTCAGTTTCAAAGCAGAACAGAATCAGGATTTTTCCTAAGCCACAGGCTGTTTGATTTGGTTTCTGTTGTATTCACAGGGTGTCTGGTCAGGAAGAAGTATGGAAAACAGGGATTGATTTGGCTTCCTCTTTTATAAAAAAAAAATTAAACAAACCTATCAAATTAAATACTAATGATTTTATGAGTTTTGAAAAAATTCAGTTAGGCTCTTTGCTCAGGCTTTTGATGCTTGAGACCCCTTTTCTAGGTTGTGAAATCTGTGCTCTGCAGTTTTGCCGGGTATCAGAAAGATCTGCCACAAGAGGGGGCGTACACACCACCCTGATGTCAGTGCCTCCCTCAAAGCTGGCCCAGTGCTCAGTGTTAGTCTGTAAAGTATTAGAAATGTGGCTCCTCTTACTCCTGATTTTACAGTCTTGAGATGGCATGGAATATGACAAGACATTTATCATTTTCCAGAAAATACATGCAGGAAACAGGTTTTATAGAAGAAAATCCTGGCTCTGCAGAATCAAGAATACTACTCAAATTATGCTGGTAGATTCTGATATACAAGATGTTTATCTTGGCAACTCCTGTTGAGCTTCACCTATGAATAGTACTGCCTTTTTCACAATGACCCCTCTTTGTACCCATTGGTTTGAAAAGTTTTGTAACAATTGCTAGAATTTTGCATAGTGCTATGTGTGGTTTTCCCCAATGTTACCACAGATAGTACAATTAGTATGCTAGCTAATGAAATCAAGTAGAAATCTTCAATTTACTGTTTATATGGATGGATTTTTTTTTCTGAAATAGCTATATGGATGCTACGCTTTAGCATGGGACCTTTTTCAAGATTAGTCTACTTCCTTCTGTTGTTGAACTTGTAAAAAATAAGCCATGAAATTCAGAATTAATGTAATGTGGCTAGGTTGATGTTCTTCTCTCAGCCTTTCAGTACTTGGTTTGGGTTTTTTTCACTTTATTTTGTTTTTGCTGAACCATATTAATGTTTTACTTAACATTTTTATTTTTGCATGTAGTGTACCTCAGTTAAATGATTACACTAAAATTTTTTGATGGCTTCTAAAAACTAATGCTTCCAGATTCTTTTGCCTGCAGCATAGTGGCAGTCAGCATTAGTTAGTTAGTCCATTCAGTAAGCAGTTCTGTAGGCTGCATAAAACAGACACATCCTGAATTAGGGCGCATGAAGGGATATTTTTAACAGTTGCATCATTGCTCTCTAGACTGCTTTTGTATTTGAAATTTCCTGCTATTGTGTCTCCAAGTGCATTAGAAAATTTTGTGGCATGCTTCCCAAGCTCTGTTCTTTCCTTTTTGGATGTGCCATTTACACTTTTGTGTTTGCAGCTGTTGACGTCCCTTTATGTACACGTTCTATTTCTGCCGTTAAAATAATCCCTGTGAAGAAAGTGAAAAGTTCTCCTCACCTAGTGCTGCCTACAGGTATCTTCTTTCCTCCCCTGCCATGCCTTAGTTAGCCATCATTGTCTCTCTCCCTTTATCATTGTCTCTCTGCTTCACCCACATGCTTTGGCTAATTCTCAGCCTCATGCTCCTCTCACTCCTCCCAGAGCTGCAGATTTCATTGGTAGGTAATGCAGTTAGCTCTTATGGCACAATACACTGTTCTCAATTATGCTGCTCTTCTGCAGACCTCATTGTGTCTGCTTGAATCTGGGATCATTGTAAGCTCTTCTACTAATGCTCGATTATGAAAAATATTGTTATTATTATTCTAGACTCATTTTGAACCAAACTCCTGAAGAACCAAAGAATATTTCCTGCATATCTTTGGTTTTTATGAAAACAAATGGTTCAAACATAGTTCAACATTGGTGGTATGGTTTTGTTTTTCTGTACATGCACTGAATTTAATCCACATGTGAATGAGTAAGGATGTTAGGCTGTCACCCTCTCCCCAAGAGCATGCTTCCCCACTAGAAGTACAAGATTATGCTTGTACCTAGCTGGACAGTCAGACTAGTGTAGCTGATACTGCTTGTCTCTCCTAATCTGTCACACATGTGCTTTGTTGGACTAGTACAGTGCTAATGTCCTGTTTATTACTAGCTGCTGGATTTCTATATTGAGCAATTCAGATTCTTGTTTTCTGTCATTTTTGAGGGAATACATCATTCCAGACATTTGTTTTCATCTCCCAAGGTGAGATATTCTGGCAAGATTTTATTTTCAAATATTTTCAAAGCATTTAATTTTTTTTTAATTCAGAGCTTTTTTTTCCGACTCTTATTCTTTTGGTTCAGTATACAGGTTTAATCTGTTGTATGGAAAATAAAAAAAAAAGCATTGATTCCCAAATTTGATTCTCCTCCAGTGTGATGAAGATATTGTTTTGGCATGTCATATGTGTTGAGCTCTGCTTCCATTTCTCTCCAGTGCCTGTGAAGCAAATGTAGGCATAGGGTTGTAGGAGGACAGCTACCCTGCACCTTTTGTGGATGTTTATATCAGGCCCAGTGACTCCCAACATCATGTCCATGCTTTACAGTTACAGCACTCTTAAAATTGGAGTCTTGGAGCTTAAACCTTTGTCCTTGGTTTGAAAGTGAGTCCATAGAGTCCTTGGGCTCTGTGTTGTGATAGCCAGAACTGCACTCTTGGGCGCAAAAGGAATCCTGACCCTACCTGGATCATGCAAAAATCAGTCAGAGAAGTCAACTTCTATTTCACCAGGAATGTGTGTGACCTTACGCTGTGATCAGCTGTGGTATATTTAAGGATGAAACACCTTTTGATGTGTCTGGGTGGATAGTCTTTCCCCTCACAGAGGCTGCCTCAATTCTGCCTCAGTTAGCTAAAGGCTGAACTATAGGAAAGCATCCTCTGATTTCTTACTTACTCCATCCTTTTTATAGTCCTAAGTATGGATCTAAAACTGTGCTTTTTGTGAAATCCCTAAAGCACTGGAAGCCTATGTAAGGGCTTCAACAGTAGAGATTCCAGAACAGAGGGCTCTCAGTGGGAGCCAGGAGTCTGGCATTCATTGAGTTTCTCCTCTTACTGCCATTGTTCATCTGGCATACTGATGTTTCCCCATGTTGTGGCTTCACTGGCTGTGGTTTGCATGGTTTGCAACCTTAGCCAAGGTTTTACCACGGTCCCTAGGCACTGTACTGATGTGGGTTTGGTGGGATATTGCCTTGCTGAAATCAGCCAGGGAATACTGATCTGCACAAATGTGGGCTTTTGTCTGGACAATAAACAACAGCCTTTGCCCCCTCTCTCCAGTCTGAAGGCATCATTTTTGTTAAAATAGCAGTTCCTGGGGAAGAGCTGCATCCTTCCCCATGCAGTGATAGAAGGATCCTCAACCCATAAAAATAGAAATTATTGTGTTGTCACTTGTGTAATGCAGCATGCACTCAGTACCTCTTCACACTCCCTGTGCAGTCATGGTAGGGCTGGTGCCTCTGTGTAGGTAAGTGAAGTCTGATGGCAGCTGCAGGGTCACTAATAGTGGATGAGAAGAGGAGGTGATGTGTTCGTCTATGGAAATAGCCTAGAGAAACAAGACACTTTTCAGGCTTATGATTTCCAGAGGTATCTTAAAGGAAGCAACTCTCCAGAAAGATGTTAAGTAGGAGGAGAAAGAGAAGTAGCTTTGAAGGACTGGTTTGTTATTACTTAATAGGAGGACAGGAGGAGAAAACCCAGATCATGGACTGAAATACACAAAGGTAAGCCTGCACAGAAGCTGTGCTGAATTGTGCCTCAGCAAGGCAAGATCTGGTATCTGATCATGATCACAAGTTGATCTGAATAGGCATGTGTTAAATCTCCTACTTCCCAGGATTTGGGTTCCTGTGTCAGAAGGTGAAACACTGCAATGAAGTGGGGAGATGGCAGGAAGGTGACTTGCAGTGCCTTGCCTTTAGCTTGTATTCAGCATTGTTAGAAGATTTTATCTTCCAGTGGTCAAAAGTTTGTGTTTTGTTTTTTTTTTTCCTATTTCAGTCCTCCACAAAAGGCATTTTTAAGCTTTGGCACACAAAGTCTGTGCATTATGTCACTGGGACATCCCTATAGAAGAGCTACAGGTGTAATGGAAGACTGTCCTTGCTAGCACAGTATCTCTGTACAAAGTAGAACAAATATAGAAAATGGCCCTGTGACCTTTGGTTCAAACACTCCTTTTTTCCTCCCCTCCCTCTTAGCTCTGTTGCACCAACTCAGAACTTAACTGCTGCATTCATCGATTACATGACTATAAAACTGCTTTGATTTCTCAATGCTTTAAATACAGAGCTAATCTTCATCTGCACAAACATTACTAGATTGATTCACCTGGAGGCAGCCATGCTAAAATTACTCTAGCACTCTGATGGCTCCTGATAGCTTTGCATCATCCCTTTCTATGTGTTTCTTCTGTGCATGTGCATTTTCTGTAGAAATGGATCCCACAAAAGTCTGCAGTGGAAAAGGAGCTGTAACTCTCCGGGCAACCCCATCCTATGAAGGGAATCGGAATGTCACTTCACCATGTCCTCAGGATGCTGAGCAACCTGAAAGTAAGTGGTGGAAGGTTAACTGACATCTGTTACTCACAGTAACCTCAAGACAGGTCAGTCCAGGATCTTGGGCTTACTTTATAATTATGCTTTAAAGCCCAGAATTCCATAGCATAGTTGGAAACCTCTTGCAAAGACCAGACTGACTCCTAGTGCCGGTTTCATGACTGCCCAGTCATTGACTAAAGTTTGTCAGGAGCACCAAAAACTCTCAGTTCTTTTCTTTCTTCCCCTCCCACCCTCACTGCTCCCAGGGCAGCCTGTGTCATCTCTTTTTACCCCAGGCATGAGGTGGAACAGAAGGAAGCTGAGCAGTGCTGCTGCCCCTGCAGCATTCAGCTGGGTTGTCAGGGAAGCAGGCAAAGCGTCCCCCCGCTGGACAGTGTTGCCACAGAGCTCTGCTGCCTTTCAATAGCAGATGTGTAATTACTTAATTGTGGGAGACAGGCACAGCATAGCAAACCTGGCCAGTGTCGTGGGTCTGGCAAAGAGGATGCACTCCCAAAGGCAAGATGCCGTTAAAGGGGAGGGGGTAAAACGTGCTCCTGAAAACAAAGCATACATTGTTTCTGACTGTATTGTTGGAGAAAGGGCAATTCCATTAATTCCAGCCCTAATGTGCCACTTTCTGCTCTGTCTTCTCCTGTTCTGCTCCACCCATGACCTACCCTCTTTTTATGCTTGCCTTTCTCTCTTTCTTCACTCCTACCCCCTGCTGTTGCCTCTCTCCTTTCTGTTGATGGCTTCATAAATTTCCAACAGCTTGAATGGCAATGGGTCCATTACTATGGAAATCAGTTCATTAATACTTCTTTTGCTGACTCTCTCAATTGCTTTATGAAATGTACTTTGGAGCTGGAAGAGCTTTGTGCATATAACTTAAACAACAAAATGGGTACAGGGTGGGGAGGACCCCAGTGAGAAGCAGGTAAATATTTGATGAGACCACTGCATGTAGCTGCAGGGACAGGCTTGTAAAGTAATGATGTATCTTATTACACCCTTCATGCACTTAGTCTGCAAAACTTGATCTATTTGTTGGTAATCCTTTATCTCAATCACATATAGTGATATTGTTAAGGATAGCTATGTCTTCATAATCTGAATACAGGGTCCCTACATTTCCAGTAATTTGTGGTGTCTGGATGTCAAGCTGCAACTTTAGAAAGTAGCTAGCTGGGCAGCCTTTTTGCCTCTGAAGTAAGAATGTCAATGAACAATTGTTTCTTCATTGCTCTGAATGAATTGCCTTGTGTTTACAAAGGTCAGAAACAAGGAGGACATCATGTTTAGGGCTGGTCTCTATGGTAATTACACAGCCCTGTCAGAAAGCATTTTATGTGTGAAATGAAGTAGCTTGACTCTTGACTTCAATTGGTACATGTTTTCTGGAAATGTAATGGTTTATTTTTTCCCCTTTTCTTTTCCTCTATGCCTATCCTCCACCCCCACCTCCTCTGTCCCTCCTTTCTGTGAAACACTTAGGTCTGGAGCCAGAAAACTCAGAAACAGGTATAAACGTTGGCTGCTTCTGTTGTTACTTCCGTTGCTTATTGGAATTATTTCTTGTTGCCTGGGGGGAAAAAAGAAAGGGGGGGAGGGGAAGGAAGAAAAGCGTCCCCTCCTTTCACTTATCCTGCAACTGGAGGGAATCTGTGATCTGAGTTTTCTTTCCCCTCGCAGATGATTGGAGGTCGTCGTCTAACACTGATGCCAATGGGGATGCCCAGCCATCTTCTCTGGCTGCCAAGGGTTATAGGAGTGTGCGTCCAAACCTCTCTTCAGAGAGCAAGCCACAGGTAAGCCTTTCTTCTGTGACCCTGAGGTGATCATCTGGGTTCAAGCACTGAATTCATGATCAGGAGTCCTGGGCTGAACTCCAAACTTGACTGCAGATGGGTAAGTTGCTGTGCCTCAGCTTTTTCTGCCTTTAAAATGGGGGCAGCACCGATGTCAGCAAAGTGTTGTCGAGTTCATGTATTCAGGCACACCACAGTGTTTCCTCAGTGGATGAAGGAGGAGGACAATGCTATTTGCAAGAAAAAAGGTGAAGTAACCATCTGTAATTATTTTGTATTTTATGCTGGTTTATTTCCTAGAAATTGCTGCAGGCTGAAATCAGAGTTGCACCCTACATTAAAAATAAAATATTGGGGGAATGCATTTCAGTTTTTACACTATAACTGACAGAAGCCGACAAGGGAAAGGTTATTTGTATGTGAAGGTAAATTGTTGAAGTCAGTCTGCTAAGAGAAGTGCAATGCCATCCTTTTTATTTTTTTTTTTGGGGGGTGCTCAGAAGCAGTCTGGAAGCTGGTAAGGAAACCCTTCGTTAGAAACTGGATTCTTGTGTGAAACAGAGTCCCTTTAAAGCCCAGTCCCCTATCAGTGTGACTGCTCCCCATCATCAAGGTCCCTTTAGCAATGCTACAGGCCAGGTACTGTAAGTGAAAGTGGGAGACGGAACAGCTCCAATGAAGGTGTGGGAAGGAGCAGCACCCTAAAGAGAGACCCATTTCTGCTCAATACTTAGAGCTGTCCTGTAGCCCTTTCCTGGTCTTGTTGATGAACAGAGGGAGCACTGGTGCACATAATACTTGTCGCAGGAGCCTCAAGAACTACTGTACAAACTGAGCTGAAATGGAAGAAGTTCCAAAAGGAATGAACCTATTCAGAGGCAGAAGCCCTTTAGAACAGCACTAAAAACCCACTTCTTCACTCCCTTATGCTTCAGAAAAAGGGTGGGAGGGGCAGAGGGGCAACATGAGGACAGCAGATTTTGGAACAGCACCTGTAATTTTATGAAACTTTTCTACATCTATATCCATATAACAAGAATAGGTACTTGCCACAACTTGTCATATATGGATAACTTTTAAAGGATGTCTCTTTCCAGATTTAAATGTTGCAAGCTGTTAAGGCATCTTCATTCTCTGGTTTTGACATTTTTAGCAATGGTTTAGGCAGCCTTTGCCCATAAAGGTATGACAACGGGGTGTTTGTAAAACCTACTTTCACAGTCTCCAAAGGGTTAATTTGCAAAAATCCAGGGAGCTGTTGATCACCAGGTGGGTATTCTCTTCTTTCCAGTAGATCTTTGTTTTCAGCTACTAGCAAAAAAGTAATAAATAAAATGAAACCTCTGTATTGTTATTTTATCTCAAAACAGTTTGGCTTTCAGAAAAAAATTCACTGTAATTGGAGATGCAGTAGGCAGATGATTTGGAGTTAGCAAGCTGTATGTTGCCAAGTACCAAAACCAGTAAAGCTTTTCTTATTATTTACTAGAAGCAGGATTTCTCTCTTGGTGATCTTGATTCTGGAGGCAAATTCTGATGATCTCAGTTCCTCAAAAAACTGTAATTTTTCTGGTCTTCCTGAAAGTTTTTTCAGGATGGAAAAATCCTAAAGAGAATTGAAGAGCTGGCCTTTAGAATGAAGAAGTGCTCACTTTTTATTTAGCCAGCTACAGTAGGCTACAGCACTCACTTGATGTCTGCTTTCATTAGCATTGGCAATATTCACTTTTCAGCAGTGCACTTAACATGCAGAGATGGCCTAGAACTCTGAATTTGGCTTTGCAGTTCAAATGTCCCCAGTGCTGGGAAGTGTTTAGTTATGCAAGCATGAAACTGAATTTAGTTAGCCATGATGTTAAATCTTGACTGAGGCTTTCCCGGGGCACAGTGAGTGTAGCTGTGCAGGCCTCTTGAAACAACACAGTAGTGAGAATTATTGAGAGCAGAGAGAGAAACACGTAGGCAGGGACTTGAGGGCTGGGTTGAGTTTGTGTGCTGCAGTGAGCTGTGCTGAGAAAGAATGTGTGGGACGATGGATGTGAGTGAGTGGTCTTCAGATACTATATTTGCTTTTTATTCTTGCTGTATTAAAACCTGCTTAACCCAAGTCTAATGATCAAATTCGTTCTGAGAATTTAATTTTTTTCCTTCCTTTTTCCTTTCATTTGATGCTGCTTCCTCTCTCCTTCCTACCTTCTTGACTCTGCCTGATCAGGCTCCTCCCCGTCCTCCTCTTCCCAAAGAGGAAAGCTTTGCATGGCGTCCTCGCACTGACACTAAAGTGACCAACCTGTTGCCAGTGCCCATCATGGACTGTGTGTACCTGAATGCACCCAAGCCTTACTCACAGCGTGCATCACCAAACACCAGTGCACGCTGTTATTTGTCATCACCTACCCCCTACGGGGCTGTCCCCAGTGGGAAGCAAGGCTTACCAGCAGGGCGTTCTCCCTCTTCAGGCCCCAAAGATGAGGTGCATGCTGGGCAGCCACTCTTGGAAAGTCACTCCTCATCAGGTGCATCATCTATACAACTCAACCCTGTCAGGGCAGATCCCAGTAGTAAGGCTGGAATGAATTCCAGTCATGAGACGAAGGCAGATAAAAAGGTCAGCAAACTATATGTAGCTTGTTTATCTAACAGCACTTGCTCAGGCGCATCTCAAAATTCCACTGGCAGCACACATGACCCAGCAGCCAGCACCAGTTTGGGCGCTGAGCTCACTCAGGCACCAGCCACCAACATTGTTCCCTCTGTAACAGACACTGAAAAGTCTCTTCCTGCTGCTCCTCCTCCTCCTATTCCTCCCAGGCCGTACTTTTACATTGTCCTCAGCAAAGACGCAGTTAGTTATGGTGCAGGCCAGCCCTCCCGGACTCAGCCGTCACCTCCGCAAGCTGTGAGGGACAGAGTGCTAGAGCCCCAGAGCGCAGCTGCCACAGAGGACAGGATGAGAAAAGAGCCTTACCTTACTCAGCAGCGACAGCCACCATACAAGGCAATGGGACGCAGCATGGTACATGTTTTCTCCATAACCTTGTTTTCTTTCAGCTGAGCGAACAGTTCTTTAATTCGTTACAATGTTCCCTTAATGCTTTATTCCCCTCCTACCTTAATCTCAGCACTTGTTGTGCTGCCCTGAGTCTTGTGGTCTTTTACTTGATAATATTTAACACCCCATATGTGTCCCCCTCAATGTTGATCTGTGTGTCTGTGTGTCTGTGTGTGGTGTTTGCAGGGAGTTGGGTGGACTGGCGAGGATCTTTCTATTGTAGGGACATGTAAAAGAAACAAGCTCTGTAATGTATAATGGTTAGAGCTTCTCAAGTGATGGTGAATGCTGAGCTGTTCTTTGTTTGATTTTAGCCTCACTACAAAGAACTGGAGAAGAGGGGTGATGAGGGGAAATAAATATTTTTGCAAAAAAACATTGTGTTCATAGAGGCCAGGGCTGCAAGCCTGAAGAAGTATGTCTCCTTAGGGGAAGACGATCTTTGTATCATTTTGGGTACATTCCTTGCATGACACGATATGGCTGCATTAGACTAAAGTAACAATCTCCCCCAGTGCATAACAACGCCTTGTTTCCAACAGGATGCCACTGCCACCACCTCAGCTCAGCCTGGAGTTATAGTAGTCCCCCTCCTTCAGGTTAATCCAGACAGACAACAAGAAGGCAGCTCCAGCACTCCACCACCGCCTCTGGTTCCTTTCGGGCAAGGCTCCGTATTCCCTGAGATTGTTCCTCCTGGCTCACCCTTGACTTTTCCAACTCTAGACGATTTCATTCCCCCACATCTCCAGAGGGGCTCCCACCATAACCAAGCACCCTCCACATCTGGCACATTACCCTCTGTTTACCCGAAACTGCCATTCTTCTCGTCACCACCTTCACTTGTCCCTCCAGTCACGGGGGCTTTGCACAGGGGCTTGAAGCCTGAAATCACTGGAGTCATCTCACATACAGTAAGCTTGCCAAGTACCCTCCTCGCCCTTTTCCTAAATTTGTATTCCTGGATTAAAATTACTTTCTCCTTGCAATACTAAACTTGAGGGAGGAGTGATGACTCACTCCCTGCCAGCAGCATGACAACTGAAACCGTGTTTGCGTCCTGTGCTAGTGCATGCAGTTTGCCTGCCTTGTGCAGTTTTGAACTTTCTTTTGACTTCTTGCAACATTTGACTGTCTCCCTTTGTGCCCGTTCTGCTGGGTGATGTACACCTTAAGAATCTTCACAGGATTTGCTCAGAGTAATGAATTCTGCATAAACTGAATAGCTGCAACTAACTGATCTTTTCAGGCTCTTTTTATAGCATCCTTAATTGTGTTTGAATAACATTTAAAGCAGCAACAGCAGGCCAGTTAAAGGTTAGGGCTGGCTTTCTGTTCCACTTGGAGCCACAAGACCATATGGTCTCCACACAAATCCCTGATAAAATCAGTGTAAGATTGCTGCCAGTATCCAATGACCTACAGGTTATAAGATCAGTTACTGTACTAAGAGTCCTCCAAGCATGGAGGTGCTATGCAATAGATTAGGCAGAGAGTATTTCTTCATTTTGCAATTGCTTGTCTTTGAAAATTTTAATAATTAGGTCCACAAGAGTTTGAACTTGGACTTTATTGTGTTCTTCTTGAGTTAGATTTTGTTTCTTGTTAAGCTCATCACCTTTTTAAAAAGTCCTCAAGGACAAGGAGGAAAAGCGGCTCTCAGTTAAAATTTCAGAGGAGGCAAAAAGTAGCTCCTTGTGCTGAAAGTCTTATGGCCACCTTTTTTTATGTTTGCTTGTGGGGACAAGGTAGAAGTTCAGAAGAAAATGCATTCTCTCATGATGATGCTTGCTCTGCCCTTTGACTCTATAGGGATCTAGCAAACAGGCATGTGGGCTGGGGAAAAGTAAAAAACAACCAAGGATGATATTTTCAAAAGTTCTCAGCATTGGCCTTTCTATTTTTATTAAAATTGGTAGGGTTTTTATTGCAGAGAGCAATGAATGAAAGTTTGGATTTGGTGTTTTGGTTTTTGTTTGTTTGGTGTTCTTTGTTTGTTTGTGTTTTGTAGGAGTTTTTTTGAGTGTTTTGTGGTTGTTTTTTTTTAATGGAGTCTATCTGCAGATTCCAGAAAAAAAACAATCAGGAGGCATCCAAATCTTAGAGGAGCAGTGGAAATTTTGCTGTACCTGACTTTCTTGAGATGAGAGTTTAAACATTTTTGGACATGCTCACTTCAGGCATGTAGTCACCGAGCTGTTTTCCACAATGATTTAAATGGTCTTTGGTCTTTGTTCACCCTCTTTGGTGACTTCACTGGGGCTGCTGAGCCTGTCCTGATCCAGCATCCCTCTTCTTTGAGGGATTCTTATTTGTAGTTTAGTTATCAAAGTGAAGCTCAAAGCCACTTCTCACACTTTTCCCTGACTCATCCTCCTTATTGCTAATTGCATTGTTTGGAATATTATTGCAGTCAGCAAAGTGGAGCTGGTCTCTCTCTAGGGGACATCTGTTCCTGAAGACCATTGGTTATTTTCTGTCCCCATGAAGTGTCTATGGCCTGACCAGCTGCTGCTTGAAGCAAGATCACCTTTATCCAACAGAATAAGATTGTTCATCCCCATTTTCCCTCCAGGCTGGAGAGGCTGTAGGTGCTTGCTCTGATTTTGGCCAGTTGTCACTATGATTTATCTTTGAGCTCTGGTGCCAGGCCTCACTTTGGCCCCTCTTCAGTCCCCTGCCTGGTGCTGCAAGTCCTTTCATCTGATGCTGGTGTGAATGAAGAGCACTGACTTGCAGTTGCATTTAGCCAGAAAAGCTGGAAGCAGGAATATTTCTGGAGCAATATTCTGGGCATATTCAGGGATTTTTTCAATAATGATGAAAATACCCTTGAATGCTCAGTTGATTTTACAGATCAGTGGCTTGCAGCATTTGAGTCCAACAGTGGAGCAGCAGGAATGCAGGAATTTGGTTTGTTGTCCCATATTCTCTTTGTTTGGATGCTCAGTCCCCATTAAGGGTAATTATGTGTCCAAATTCCTTAAGAGGCTTTGAAAAATCTCAGTGTAAGCTGATGCACACACAGTCTTTAGTCATCATCCCTTCTTTATCTTAGCCACCTTACCACCACCAGAAGTCCAATATCCATGGACTGAGGCTTTTCAAAGGTGAGCTAGGTTTCAAAGTCTCCCTGCAGACACAGCCTGTATTTCTACAGAGCGGCCTGAGCAGTGGTGATATCATAGGTGGGTTTGAAATAAGCAAATAATGGAGCTGGATGCTTTAGGAGAGCAAGAGCAACTTGCTATCTGTTCTCCAGCAGCAAATCCATCTTCCTTACTAGAGTCCTACTTGTTACCCTCTGTCAGTTTTGGGGCCTTTTTATGTCATTACTTTAATCAGGTAGGTATCACATTGTCTCCTGAGTGACAGTGCTAACTTAATTCCTTAGACTTTTCTTACCAAACCGGCTGCAGCAATACTGTTTCATTCCAGAATTGCATGAGTTTTGCATGTCTGACTTCCTATGAAAGGAATACTCTTGGAACAAATGTTTGTGTGTGGGTGTATCAGGGGAATGATGTCTGCATCTTCCCCCCTCCCCAAACTAGATTTGCTCATTTCTGACACCTTGTGTTTGCTCCAGAGTGTCTGCTAGATAAACTTAGTGCCCTCTTTTGGGGTTGGAGTTGTGAAACCCAACACCAAATAACTATAGTACTGCCTTAGCAAACTAATTTCATTAACAATGAGCAGGATGTGTTCAAGGAGCAGGGTAATACTTATGCTTATGCCTTTTTTACTAAAATTTGCTGTGATTATGCTTCTTGTTCAGCCTAAAATGTTGGGGTTTTTCATGGATTTTCCCAGTGTAGCACCACTGGCATGCTGCTAATCATGTGTTGCTCTTCTTTCCAGGACCCAGGTCCTGTGCTAAATGAAGTGCCCCAGCCTGGCACTGACTATTCAACCTCCATCACTTCCATCAGCAAGTCTGCCTCTGCCTATCCTTCTACCACAATCGTCAATCCCACTATTGTCCTGTTGCAGCACAATCGAGGTAAGGAGACTTGCATATAGATAATTTTGGCTCAAAATGAGCAAACTGTTATGCTACAAGGAGCTGGAGAATGTGTGTGCTGTTGATAATTGGGTCCAGATTACTAAGAACTAACAAAGTTGCCTCAAAATAGTCTTAGTGACTGGAACATAAAACAGGCAAGTGAGAGTGATATGTTTTTTCTAATTAAAACCTGTGGATCAGAAGCTCTTTGAGGCTGGGGAGAGGTTTCTAACTGGGCTGTGGACATATGAATAAGCTATTGCAAGGTAACAGCTGTCAGGTGTCTTGTCATGGTGGAAAGGGTTATATGCTCCTGTATATCTGTCTGTAGAAACAAGGTAGCTTGTGGTAGCTTGAAAAGGTGACATGCTACTTCTCAGCTACTGCAGTGTAAAGGCAGCTGTATTTTCTATTACTGTGGGAGAGATTTGACCTGTGAATTTGTAGCAGAATTTACTCAATAGTATATAATCTACTTGCCCACAAGTTTGATCTTGGCAATTTTTTCCTCTGCCTGTAACTGGATCAACTCAAACTCATATTGCAGTAATCCTTGAGCTCTGGATTTGCAAATGAGCAAAACAGCCTTGTTTGTGAACTCCCAGGAATCAACACCTTTCTCACACAAGCTGAATAGATAGTTCTATCTCTTTACCTCTGTATTTGGAGGGAAACTTTGCTCCTCTGTTTTAGTTCTGCTGATGGCTGGCATTACTACAGCTTCTCATTTCGTTGTGCAGCCCTAAAGACTGTAGCTTGTAACAGGCCACAGAGATACAGTCCAGTTTGCTTTGATTTCTACTGGACTTGGGAAACTCCAGGAATCTAGCCACTATTACTGTGGCTTACCTTTTCAAAGGCTCAGAGTGCTGACCTTTGCTTTTACCCAGTGCATGTAGGGTTTTTTTTCCTATGTGGGCAGCTATTGGGTGAACATGATGTGTAGGAGCAGCTTGCCATCAGTGGTCACCAGAATAGAGGGCTGGGGGCTAAAGATCCAAGTTCAGAGGTATTGGTGAGGGAGCTACACCGAGGAGAAATACCAGTCTTCCTTGCTGAGATGATACTCTTAGTACAAATATGTGGTGAAGGTGGATTCCTCTAGAAAACAGCACTCACTTGGAGGTTTGTTACTATGGCAAACTTGCTTGGCAAGTGTTCTATGCCACCCCAAAGCACAGTTATTTCCTGTTCAGGCATTGCATGGCATGGTTTATCATAAATATATAACAGATGTGTTTAATGTATTGAAGTTTTTTAATCTGTGCTCTAACAATATGAGCTTTCAAAACTGTTTGTGCTTTTTATGTCAGTAAAATATTTTATTCTCTTCAAATGGCTTTCATGCTTTAAAGAAAATAGTTAATTGCTAGGGAATAAAAAAAAAAAGCAGAGAACAGAGTGCTAAGCATTCTTCTTTATTCCCCTGTGATTTGGGTAAGTCATTTGGAAATCCTTTTAGGAAGCACTAACTTTAGGGTGGTGAAACCTGCTGAGAGATACCACAGATAATCCATTCTAGGAACTGGTTAATGAAAAGCCTCTAACCAAGGGGACTGTTTCAAGAACCAAAGCTTTCAAGCTCTGTCTGTGCACAAGTCATTGAATCTGTGGCTCAGTAATATGTGATGAGACCCAGCAAGCACCAACAATGACTTTATCCTTTCCTATATCCCTTTGAAATGCTACAGCAGTATTATTTCAAAATGTACTTTATGATAATGGTAACAGAGTTAGTTATCAAGTTGCTTGACTCTGTGAATTTTTGCTGGTTTTCAAATCATCTGCTGTCCAATGTTTTATTCTTTAAATATTCTGATGTTTATTCTTATGTTATAAAAAAAAAAAGAAAATTTAAATATAAATGCTCTTTGCAAATGTATTGGTCACTGCATCATGAGATTTATGTTATCCCACAAGACTGCTGTGTGGAGAAGGGACCATGGGCTGTCACTTTGGCAGGGTATTTGAAAACAGATTTTCTCCAGCACCTGCTATCATTCTACAGTGTATTTCTTGCCTGTCAGAAATGCAGCACCAGAGCACTTGCTGTTTATGTCTCACACATTTGTCCTGTATTTCTTTTTGTTTTGTTTCTTCCTTTACCACAGAACAGCAAAAAAGGCTTAGTAGCCTGGCAGGTATGATGTGAAAGGTCTGCTACCCCTCAGCTGCTGCCTCTGCTGGAGCAAAGCTGCTGCTTTGATAGCTTGTGGGGTGCCTTCAGCAAACACACTGCCCAGGAGCTGCAAAGAAATATACCAAACACCTAAATTACTCATCTGTTTGTCCTAAGTCATAAAATTTACCAAGGTTTTAAACACGAATCCTTTAGTTCTGGGTTTTGCAGGGCAGAATTGTGTTTGCTCATGGTACCAACAGATCAATGCATTGCTATGCATGAGCCTTTCCTCCACTGTCTGCCCCTATCAGATTTCTACACATTTAATGGCTTTGGGCAGGATGGTGATGTGCATGTGAATAAACATATCTTTCTCTCTTCAGTGCATGCAGTGATGTAAAAATTATAGGATTTGCAAAAGTCTTGATGAGGCAGACTGAAATTGCAGGTGTTTCCTCTGCAGGAAATCCACATAGAAAAAAAATCCTTCTGTGTTGCAGCTCTGCAGAGCTTCAGAACAATCTGAAGTCCCTTGGTGATGCCTGCTGCTACCTCTGGGTGTCAGTTGGGCAGTGTCAAGGAATTCCAATTTGGAAGCAAGGCAATCTGAAGAAATTAGTTATTTCCCTCCATCTTTATGCAGACTCCTGTGAAATCATGTCATATGTATGCTTAAACAACATTTGTTGTTTACACACTCTGATTAGGGCATGGAAATTAATTGGAAACATCATATACTGTCTGCAACAAACAGGGCTGTCAGAGAGGTGAATGCAATCTGTTAAAAAGTGGTGCACCACTACCACATTTAGGTTGAAATTGGCAGAAAAAGATGTACAGGAGACTGTATTACAGGTGCTTTTTGATGAAGACGGACATTGTAGAGTTATTAATTAGTCAAAAGAAACAATTGTTGAAACCAAAATTACTGTCTTATATGACAGCTGAGACTGTCATGAGATGTGTGATGGTAACTGCCTGAGAGATGCTCGCCTGCTTTTGCTGGCATTGGGCATTTTCTTGGGAGATTTCCTTCAGTGTAGCTGCTAATCACAACCAGCAATGACAGTCTGTCTCATCAACTACTTGCTAGAATTTTTGCCTTAAAAGAACCCAATATGGTGATGTTGTGAAATGCTGGGATGAGATAAAAATCCCCCATTGTCATTTCCAGATTCAGTGCCAGACAGATTAGTTTCTGACAGAGTTGATTCAGCACTTCTGCGGGACAAGCCGGCTCAGGAGGCTGCGCCAAGTGAGAAGAGGGCAGTGGAGGAGAAGAGAAGCACTGTCAGGAGCCCTCCCTACATGGCTGATACCTCTGTTGATGACATTGGAATTCCACTGAGGGTAAAACACTGAGCATGTGGCTGGTACACAAAGCCTGGGCTACATTCTGCTTACCTTAGGACTTAGGGAACTCACTAAAGCTACAGAGATTTAAGGGAAGATAGAATTCTAATTCCAATATAATTTATGATTAATTATTCCATTTGCTATCTATGACCTGTTTCAGCTCCTTCAGGGAAAAGAAAATTAAAAATTAGTGTTTCTTATAATATATGATAATAATGTTTTCTGCTCCTCTGTTTCCTTCCCATCTAGCAGCTGAAGAAGAGTTTTGTCTCATTGTAGCCATCTTAGAGGCAGATACCTCCTTTATATGTGATTACATTCATTCAGTGTTCAGGGGAAATTATGAAAAGAATTATTAACCTACTCTTACAAGTAGTTTCTGGAATTACTTAAACGCTCAATGTTTCTAACTGTCCACTGAATACTTAAAAACAGGGAAGTTGTTTTTAAGTTTGGATGTCAAACCAGATTAATATACAAAACATTTCATACAACGTGCCTCTGCAAAGCTCTTACATTATTACTTACTTGAATGAAATGTCACATGAGATGATATATCTGAGTGAAATAATTAATATTTCAGGATATTCATATAATGCAGTTTTCACATAGAGTGTAATTTTTTTTCATTGCTGGAAGATTTGTGATAACTTTGAAAGGCTCGTAGAGTCACTGTTGATTATTTCAATGTATATTTATTTTTCCAACAGAATACAGACAGATCGAAGGACTGGTACAAGACGATGTTCAAACAGATCCACAAGCTAAATAGAGGTACTGTAGCACAGATGTTTTTTATTTACTTTAAAACATCACATTGATGACATTTTGTTTCATCCATATGAAGAATTTTACTGGATGTTAAATAAAAGCATTTAATGTTAGTTAGTGTGTGCTCTGCACCACAGAACTCAACCAATGTATTTGAAATCTTTGAAGTCAAAGGTAGGAGAACTCTGAAGTCCAAAGAAAGGTCTGACTTGTTCTGAAAGGCGAACTGCAGTGCCCTCATGAAATCAACTATACTATTTGAGACCAGAAAAGCTGATAATAATTCCATACTTAGGGAAAATAGATCCCTGAACTCCAGTTTTACTAGTTAACCCAATCTACACACTTTTAAAATACAGTAGGTTATCTCTGAAACTTCTTTGTGCATAAGAGGAAACTTTTTACGCTGTTAAGCTTTAGTACCTGCGCAACAAAGCAGGATTTGAAGTTCACTGAAGCCAGTGGAAGGGTTTCCATTAATTGTTGGTGAGTTTAGAATCTGAATTCTGCTTTTTCAATACCCTAATCTTTCTCCTTTGAAAACCTAGAATTGTGGTGAGCACTTACAAACTTGAGTGGTGAACTCTCAGGGGATTCCCACCTTGGGGCACTTCTATGCCTGACTGCTGATACATTCACATTTTTCTGTGTGAGAAATGGCTGCAGTAGCACTTGCAAGCTGACCCGTCTGAACAGCCTGACACACAGGCAGGCACAGCTCAGATCTGTGCTTCTGGAACCAAATGCAGAGCATGCAAAACTGGAGCTGTATTTGCTGTTGCAGGTGCTGTCCTAATGAGCTTTATGCATAGATAAATGCTGTGCTTCAGTGGATGGGATGAGGAGGAGTTGAACTATTTCCTAATCCTGCTGCTCCTAACAGAGGTTCTTTAGTTCAGCTAAAGCCCATGCTCAGATGGAAGAGAATGAGTTCAGTCCCCTTGGCTTCCAGGATCTCTCCCAAGGCCCAGACATGCAAGGCAGCAATGAACAAAGAGGCATTCTAGGTTGTGTCATGCTAGACCATCAGCATGAGAGGGACTGTAGTCAGCTTGAATGTATTCCTGGCTCGCCCTTCTTCCCCTTAAAATCTATCCTCTCTGTTCTTTTTTGCAAATCATGTTCCTCTTCTTAGACAATCCTGAAGAAAACCCTTATTGCCCTACCTACACATTTCCTGAACTTCCTGAAATCCAGCAAAAAACTGAAGGTACCAGAAGTTTAGTCAGAGTATCTGTTGTCTTTTGCTTTGAGTTAACTGTACTATAGTGCCCTAATAATAACTCGATTCAGGTTCTAGTTTTCTGTTACACTGCCTGGAAATTCACTTATTCCCAGTATAGCTTCTTGTGTGATGCATAAAATAACTAAATCTTTGCTAATCCATTAATCTCTTTTAAAATATGATACCATTTACCCTAGTGTTATTAAAGTAGGGAATAAAATCATATGGTGATAGAAGTTGGGGAATGAAGCAGAACCTCCACTTCACTGTGGATAGTCTCAAAATCCACTGCTTTTCTCTGCTACAGAAGACAATCCTTATTCTCCTACATACCAGTTTCCTGCGTCTACTCCTAGTCCTATCTCTGAAGGTAATAATTAAGGTCCATATCTATTTTTTCTGCACAAATGCTGCCTTATCAATTTATTTTCTTCCTGGAGTTTTTTCTAGTTGCTGAGCTTTATGCTGCCTCATAATGATTTGCTGCACTCTAAGCATTGCCTTGACTGTATGATTCCTTTTTGGCTTTGCAGTGCTCCTCTGGCTTTGTAACTAGTATTTGACTAATGCTGCAAACTTGGGGTTTGCTTGGTTTTCTGCACTTATCAGTTGCGTGTGCAGTGATTATTTAACATGTCTAGGTTGCTGACTTTATGTGTAAAGATGGGTTTAACTTAGATTTCTCCCCCCACCCCTTCCAAATCAATAAATTTCATTAATTATTTGCTTTTGGTTTTTAACATTAACATAGTATTAGGGCCAGACCCAGAATGTCACTGAAGCATATTAGTAAAAAGGCTACTTGCTTCAGTGGGTTTTGGATCAGTCCCTTAAGTGTAGTCTTTTAAAATAAAAATAACTTGATAGCATAGGTTCAGGGCTGGTCTTAGGTGCACTTGGCATATCTAGGCAAGGACAGAGTTTGGATTCATCAGCACATCTTGCAACTTGAAATAACACTGTCTTTACCTTATCTCTTCATGTGCTCAGCAGATTCCTTTAAACTTCATATTCAAATCAGAATACTTTGCAGTCATATTACAGGGATGGTGAAACAGCACCTGTTGCAGTGATAATTGTGTGACTGTGCGAAATATTTATATATGAGAAACACTGGAATCTGCTGCAGACATTGGATGATCAGACATTTCCTGATTGGGAAGTTGTTGGTGACAGCCTCGTTAGCTTGGAGCTTTGGTGATGCTTTAGGTCTTGCAATCTAGGAACTTGCCTACTTAGCCTGTGCCTCAAGCCAACCCTGGTGAGACTATTAATTAACCATTTTATTCAGTATTTGTATTAAACGTCTGGTGGGTATTGTGTAAGAAGAAAGCATGCAGTATGAGCTGAGATACTCAAAGAAGGCAAGGAAATGTAAGGTGTATTTCACTGTTAAAATGAATGTGGATGAAGTGTCATACAGGTATCTAAGATACTTAATAATTTCTTAATGAAATACATTAGGTGAAGAGCCCTGTCTTGCAAATTGTAATGCAGGGTAAGCGATTTTCTCTTGGCAGAATGGTATGTGGGTATGGGTATGAGAGACACTGTTTCAGTAATTAATGGATAAAAGCATTTTACAGAGAATATTTCCTTGTTCATAATGAGGTTTGAAAATTCATTTTACTCTTCTAGGCTAACAAAGTTTTCAAACTCCACTATGACAATATATTAAAGAGTCTGTTCTCCCATAAATATCTCCTATGCACTTAGAAATGTGCATATGAAATTAATTTGCTGGTTTGTATAGTTGAAATTTTATTGGACTAAACACTAATTTCTATTCTCAATATATTGGGAAACATTTCTCTAATATTTGTTTGGATTCTTTTCTTGATAGGAAATACAAAATAATTTGATCATGTAGAAGAGTTGCAGGGGTTGCAGGACATGTTTCATGCTTAGAAAACACTTTAAAGATCCATAATCAGTGGCAGTGTTTATACAGAGGTGAATTGGAGCCTCACTTTCATACAATTAATGTCAGAATGGATTGATGAATAAGACCTCCTAGAAACATCAAGATCTGGGCTCCCTTCAAAAATATATTCAGCATTTCTGAAACCATACAGAATATGTCCAATCCATGAAATTAAGTCCAACCCTGCAGATTCTCTACCACCTAGAGGGAAACAGCCTCTCTTCTTTAAAGGAATCCGATTTTGAAGTCACAAACTTGTGTGTGACTGCTTTGAGGATGGATTACAATAAAGCTTTGAGAAACAGATAATGTTGTTTTAATGCTCAATTCTGATTTACTCTTAAGTGTTATCAAACCACTCCAGATTTCTGTTTCTGTATTTCTTGTATAAAAAGGAGATAAATGTAGACACTCTTCTTCATAAGATACTCAGAGACAAAACATAGCTATTCTCTTCATTATTGTAGATATTAGAATATAAGAAATAGGAAAATAGCCATTATCTGAAGTGAATTTTTATTGTATGGTTTTTCTTGTTTGAATGACAAGCTATAATGAATGTTGATATTTCTCTTCAAGTAAGTAAGTATAATTATCTTTTATTTATTAACAGCACTAAAGAAGGTTATTAGAGGTGAATAGCTATGAAAGTTGTTTTAGACATTTGTTTATCTGTACTTGTAGGGACTACTGAGTTTTGTGATTTACCAAATATTTTTCTGTCTGAGTAAATCAAACTTTTATTTAAGAATAAGTCATTTTTGTCAACAGTTCAGTGTAATATGGATATTTGGTTTTTGTCAGTAAGGTTTAAAAATGGGAATTGGCCTTCTTAACCTGAAGGTTATGATGGGCATACAAAGACTCAATAACCATCTTTTTGGAACTTTAACCTTCTAATTCATTCACCAAGAGAACTAAAGCAGATAGGTTAGAGGTTTAGACTACCCTGAGCCTTCCTGAAAGGCTTAATGAAGGCTTGAGTGCAACTTCAGGTCAGCTGTGTTAGCCAAATTGTGTTTTTCCAGCAGATGAGATTGGCTGTAGTATCTGATCGATGTCCTCCATGAGAGAAAATTTAGAAGTTGTTTCAAGCTGTTGATTGTCATAACTAATTTCACATAACTTTTTTTTTTAAAGTTTGTGGTTTTTTTTTTAATCTAGTTGATTCTAGCTTCATCTTCTTAGTTTTTATGTGTTTTCCTTTGTCACATTGAATGGTTTCTTTGCAGAGATATTAGTAATACTTTGGCTCACAATTCTCTTCGCAGTCACAGAATCACAGAATATTCTGAGTTGGAAGGGACCCGCAAGGATCATCAAAGCCCAACTCCTGACCCTGCACAGGACACCCCTTAGAGTCATACCATGTGCCTGAGAGCATTGTCCAAATACTTTCTGAACTCTGTCAGGCTGGTGCTGTCACCACTTCCCCGGGGACCCTGTTCCAGTACCTGACCACCCTCTGGGTGAAGAACCTTTTCCTAGTGTCCAACCTAAACCTCCCCTGACAACTTCAGGCCATTCTCTTGGGTCCTGTCACTGTCACCCCAGAGCAGAGATCAATGTCTGCCCATTCTCTTCCCCTCAGAGGAAGCTGTAACTGCAGTGAGGTCTGTCCTCACTCTCCTCTTGTCCAGGCTGAACAGACCAAGTGACATCAGCTGCTCCTCATGTGGCTTCACCTCTAGACTCTTCACCATCTTCATTGCCTTCCTTTGGATGCTCTCTAATAGCATCCAAAGGAAGGCAATGCAAATGATGCAGTCACAGAATCACAGAATATTCTGAATATACAGAATACTCTAAATACAAGAGTCATATGTGATTGTCAGCAGGGCTCCTCAGCTGTATTATTGTGTTTAGTACCTAATGAGTTGTTTTAATCATATACTATGGCCTTTGGATCCTCTATTTATCTCTCAGCTTTTGATAAAGTGTATCTATAACCCTTGCTGTAAAGGAGTTTTATGATAAAAAGGGATTATTTTCTGAAGTACTTTGAGAGCCTGGAGAAAGGTATTAGTGTAAATAGTATATTAATATTTATATTGAATCTAGGAATTATTTTCAAATGCAATTTTAACCTCATTGGAATTTTATTCTTTAGGATCCTCTCCCTGTGGTAAGTATTGGGCATATCACTCAAATTGTGGTGAATGCATTAGTAGAAGAAATTAAAGGGTCTCTGGTGCTTTTTCTCTGGGGCTTTTTCGACTCATTTGCAAAATGCTTTTGTTTTTCAGATGAAGATTCTGATTCATTCTCTCCACGTTATTCCTATCCTGAGGACAGTAAGTAATTCACATTTCTTGTTTAATCTGTCAAAAAGAAAGGGCATGTAAAGCATGTATTTATTGGCCTCCTATCCAGTTCACCAATATTCCTCTATGTGATTTCTCCTACAGGCAGAACCCAAGTTCCCCGCTCCAAGAGTGAGATGGACAATATAGATTCCGAGAAGGTTGTGAAGAGGTCTGCCACTTTGCCACTGCCAAACCGTGCTTCATCACTGAAATCAAGCCCAGAAAGGTGATCTGAACTAAGCCTTATATAGATCAGCTCTGGAAGAATATCTGAAAGCTGTCAATGGGAAGGGGTTAAAAGTGGAAGCCTTAGATCCATGGCTCCAGTTAAACTTTTTTGGAAGTTGGATATGTAGTTTTAACTCTGAGTCTTTTACTAGGTGGCAGTGGACTCCTTCTTTGTCACAGCCCAGTCCCGCATTCTGTCTGTCTTTTCCATCAGGCATCACACAGCCTGTTGCATAGTCTCCTGTCTGGGTCAAGAGTTGGGTGTCATGCTTATACAGTGCCTACCACATAGGCACAGTGGAAACTCTTGGCTCAGTATGAGTCTGTAAAGGTACCTCAGAATACAAGCAAGTAGTGATAATTGTGGAGAAGCAAAATTTGGATTTATGTTGAGTCTTGGTAAAAACTTAGTTAAATTTTCCATCTCTGAGGAATCTTAGCCATATGAACTTACCTGAAGTAGGTTCTAGTCAGCAGTGTAATTTCTGATCTTCAGGATTACTTCCCTCCTGGTTTTTTGCTTTGTTTGTTACCATGTGTTTCAAACATTTTTGTAACAGTAAGGAATGCATGTACAAATGAAGGGAAAGCAGAATGAACAAAGAATATTTTATGTCCTGCTGAACTTTCCCAGCTCTTGAACTGTTCCTCCCTCCTTTACCACCTTCTACATGCTCTTAGTGTTTCATTTGCTGCCTCATATGAGCAAAGCTGTAATTTGACATGTCTGCTTTAGTGAGTATCTCAGGTCACTGGATTAGGAGACAAAGTTTACTGATAGAAAGTGTCTTCCTTATGCAGGAATTGAAGATATAGTATATTTGCCCTCTGAGAAAATTCTTGCAAGTGAAAGGATTACCATAATTAATGCTTCCTATTATCTAGTAGCAAACCAGTGCCTCACCAGAATTTTCTTTGTGGTTGGAGTCTTTAATTAATCAAGTTAGTCTGGACAGGAAAGATCATCCTTGTTGAAATTTGTGCACTGTTTGTATGCCAATCATTTTGGCTGTCATCTTGCCTTACTTTAGAAAGGAAAAAAAATTAAATGGATTGTCTTTGTCTCTTCTCAGCCAGTGGAGAGAGTTTAGGCAGCTCAGAGGTTTGTTTCCATCCTAGTAGATCAGAAGGGAGAGGAAACCTGGAGCAGCAGTTTTGCACAGATGCCTCAGTTTTGTTTGGTGAATTCTGGGTGAGATGAATCCACATACACATTGCCAATCAAAGACAACATGCCAAGAGCAAAATCAGAACTAGTTTATCATCCTAAAAGGGCTGATTTCTCAGCTTTTTGGAGATCATTTGTTATTCTGCATTAGGTGTCTGATTATATCAATTTTGAGACCAGCAGGACCTTGTAGCATATGGACCCTGAATGCTTTGTGACTGTTGTTGTTTCAACTGTGTTGGTATAGGCACTGCACAAAATATAGTGGTTTGGGCAGTCAATGGACTGTTCTTAGCCATGTTAAAATAGAACCTGAGATAATTCATTCATGTGTCTAGAAAAAAACCTCCTCTTGGAATCCAGAGTGCCTCAGAATCCAGAGCAGTGGTAATCAGGTAATCAGTGATGTGGCTAAAAGGCAGAAGTTTAGGAAAAGTAATTTAATCTGAGTTCTGCTAAAGTTTGGACATGTTTATATTTGTGATCTTAGTTGAAGCCTCTCATTAAGGTGTTTCCAATGGGGAAAGATTTAGAAGTCTGGAAGTTTACTGAAAGTTCTTAGAATAACCCCCCTTCACACCAGTTGTTTCAGCAGCTGAGCTATTTTCAACTCTGCCTGTGATAGATAAACAAATACCTGTCTGGAGCCCTATCTGAACTGTTCCTCTTGTAACAGTCTCCTTTCCTAGGTTAAAAGTACCCTGATAAAACCATAATTAATAGGGTAAAGAACCAGTTTATCTCCACAGAAACCACAGTATTTTGGGGTAATTGATCTTTCTTTCCTCAGGACTGACTGGGAGCCTCCAGACAAGAAAGTGGACACCAGAAAATACCGTGCAGAACCCAGGAGCATTTATGACTATCAGCCAGGGAAGTCCTCTGTTCTGAACAATGAAAAGATGGTAATGTTTGATTTATCCTAGTTTGTGGCTTTATCCTGTGATTACGAAATACTCTCTAAATGCTTGTGTGGTTCTATTTGGATGGGATTCCTTACGCTGACATTGCAGTGCTCATGTGATGTTTTTTGAAAACTGTTCTGCATAACTTCCTAACATTTTTGTTCTCTCTAAAGCAAGATCCAGGGGGGATTGAGAGGTTCTTTCCTTCTGGACCTGTTGTTTTCCATGTTAAGTATGGATCACTAACCCTAGTTTTTAATCCATGTTTGACACTGTGACCTGTTCAGCAGCTGTTTTGCCAGCTGTACTTTTTCTAGGGCACAGCATTAGCTGATGCAGGAGGGTTGAAGGCATTATGCAACAGAGAAGGCAGGTTGAGTTTCTATGTTCCTCTGATGCTTTAAACACTGAACTAGTTTTCAGAGCGCCTTTGGTGTGCCTCAGTGGATGCCTCTGAGGTACATTAGGATATGGCCATTTTCCCTGGGTTGCTTTTTTCCTCAGCTGGATCTCACCACTTCTGTGACAGAGGTGGCAGGACTCAGTGTGAGCTCTCCAGTGATGGTGGAATGTAACCTGGCATATTAAGTGAGCTGTTTCCAATTTCAGTCTGAATTAGTAAGCAGTGCTGTGAATTGTGACAGCTAGGGACATAAAAAAGTCTCTTTCTTCAACCTTGGTTGAGAATACTTGACAAGGAACAGGCAGAGAGATGATGCTAACCTTGTCAGCCAGTACAGTATAAATCAGCACAGATCACTAAAGGTGTCCTTCCATGGTGCAAGTGTGACACTGTAACTGCTCGAAAATACTGAATGTTGTTAGTAGTGTACAAAGATAGTGCATAAAGATATAATTGTTCTATAAAGGCATTAATTTGAAGGATTCAATTAGAACTGCTAATTGCATGTGAGTTTCCAATATGTAAGTTGTACCTTAACAGCTCAGACATTGATCCGTGCATGGAATAGATAAAGGAATACTCCTGAAAAACCTGCCTAGGATTTTACACAAGAGCGAATAGCAATTTAAATCAATAGAAATGTAACAATCAAGACTGATGTGGGACCTGATGCTTCTCCTTAGTATTTTGGTGGGTTTTCTTTTTTCCTTCCAAGTGTAATCAAGGTCCATCACTTTTTGAAGATGCTGGAACCAACCTCTTTTCACACCTGTGTCCCTTCATTGACTTCAACAAAGTTGCTCCTGATAGGAGCATGATCCCAGTGCCTATTGCAATGGGCGGTGGATGACTCCCTCTTGATACCACTGGGTGTTGGCTCAGCCCATTAGAGAAGTGCCAGTGAGGAGTGGTTTGAACATGGTATGACACCTCCATTCCTGCAGTCCATCCTGGAGCCAGATTTCCGCTGACTTAAACATCAATTTTGTCTCACGGTAAACAGACAAGATTAAAACTTGTGGCAAAAGGCCCGCTTCATCTGTGTACTTAAGCATTTGCAAAAGGTCTGTCATCACCAGTGGCACTGTTTACGTGTTCAGACTTCATCAGGTACTGAACTGAGCTGTGGAATCAGAGTCTAAAAGCCTCTGATGGTTCTACAAGCAGAATCTTCATCAGCATAACTGAACATTTTATGTACAGAGCTCATCAAAACCAAGATGAAAGTGATAGCTGTGTTACTTCCAATGTTATTTTATGGGCTTTAATTTGAAGCCATAGACCAGAGAAGAAAGAAGGCTTTGGAAATAGTAGCTTCACAGTCTCCATCAGTCTCATTAAATATAACAGTACCATAGTCGTTAGTGACTGCATCTTTCAGACAGGTGCAGGAGCTTTGTGAATATCACCTGGTAATCACACCCACAACTGTGACTATCAGAATCCCAATCCAAAACCATTTCAGAGCAATGAATAGCCTGCTGTTGATATCACTGGGCTTTGTTTTAATGTAAACACAGTTATATAAGATGAGTGCTTTTAGCTGGAGTGTAGTAAATAAAAAAGAGAAGTATTGATTCCTTTGTGCCCTTAAGAAATAGCCAAATCATTCTCCAGGCCATCAGGCATTAAACATGATGTAACTATTTATCTTGCATTTCCTCTCATTCAGCATCTATCCTGAGCTCTTTTCCTAGAGATTTTTTTGTGGTGCTAATGGCTATGGCAGAATCTGGGACATACAAGTCCAGCATTTTTGTCAATTGCCTCAGTTACCCCATCACAAAATTATTTCCATGAGGACATTGTGCATCTATGGGGCTCCATCTTCCTTGTGATGGAGTACTTGGGATCATACCTGCACAGCAGACATAATGTGTGTATATTTTTAATGCACGGAGATCCACTCTGTCTTTGACTAGGTATACTGAAATGCAAGAATTAGATAGATATCTTTTATCCCACACTTTTGGAGAGTGGTACCTCAGAAGCTTTAGCAATGGACTTTTATTGTCTTACCTCACCAGCAGTGTTTTCAAACAGCTACAACTATTTCAATTTTTTTTTGTTTCATTAAGACAGATGGTATGAATGAAAGGGAATTTCCTTTTCAGCTGTACTGTTTTCTGTCCTGTCTGATTTTCCTTCATTGTAGTTTTGTCTGATATTCTAACATTTATTTGTGAAGAAACATGTAATATTGTCATTCTATCCATCCTTTCAGAGGTCTTAGGGTGCGCTCTCTCTGACATGTGTCTCGTATGAGTTAGAAAACCACCTTCCACTCTGTTTGCAGTGTATAGAACAGGGTTTCTCACATGTTCATGTGCTGTTAAAGATGCAGTATTTGATTCAGATCTTACGGAGTCTCTCTTTTTTTAACCAAAAGAAGCTTTAAAATAATAATAATAATAATAATAATAATAATAATAATAATAATAATAATAATAATAATAATAATAATAATAATAATAATAATAAAGTATATGTAGCTTTTGACTTGATAAAAGTGTCTGACAGTAGGACTGACAGACTGCTGGACTCTCTGTTCTTCCATTGAGTCTCCCTGTGACTCTGGGCAAGCTGCATAATCTCTCTTTGTGGGTCTCCTGACCTGTAAAATGCAATTCATTCATATTCATGTTGGTCCCAATGATGCTATTTGGCTTAACTGATGTTTTCAAAGCAGTTCATAGCCTTTATGAGAAACATGCAATAGAAATACCAAATTATAAGGCTGAATATCTACATTTTAAAATGGAAGCCATGGGATCTGCATCTCTAACAGTCCCTTTCCGTGTATTCTTTGCATAATGTTATCCTTCTCTTTCTTCCATTCCCTTATCACCAATTCCTTTAGACTCGGGATATAAGCCCAGAAGAGATAGATTTAAAGAATGAACCTTGGTATAAATTCTTTTCGGAATTGGAGTTTGGGAAACCGGTAAGTTTGATAGTTGCAATGACCAATGAAGTCAACCTGCCTTTTTTTTAATTTTTTTTTTTTTTATGATTGTCACATCTCTTTCCTAGGCCCTAAATCTGAAACAGCTGCCTTACTCATTTAAAGATGTGATTGTACATAATGTCATCCTGGTACTAACATAAAGCAGCTGTTCTGTGGCCACTTTTAGTGTTTTGAAGCCATTTGCAAACATTCCCTACCTTCCAGCACTATGTATCAACAAGGTAATATTTTTTCACACACCCTAGTTCAAACTGCATTTTTGTAGTTAATGTGAGAAATAATACCCTGATCTCATTCTTAAAAGGCCTTATTCAAAGCACTTATTCTCCTTCTGCCTAACAAGATCTAGGATGGCTGATAGATAACTTTAAGTCAAGGAGAGTTATTTATTCCTGTCCCTGGCTTGTAAACTGTAGGTCAGTAATTTCCAGCTCTCCATAAACAGATCATGACCTTGTTTCCTGCTTATTTCGTTATGCATGTAGCTGCCCATTGCATAAAATGGGGGGCACTAGGGCACTAGCCTGTGTTGAACAGCCCTTGCCCTTCCCTGAAACCAAAGGAGTCTGAGAACAGTGTTCTTTCTTCTCAAATAGAGCTGTGTTGCTACATGTGGAGACAAAAAAAAAAAAAAAGCCTTGATTCCCCCTCTGGAAAAGATGAACTAAAGCTTAATTATTCAATCAAACAAAGAACATTTTGATGGAGGGAACACATCAATGGTCATGGCTACTGGGAAAAAATGTGACTTTAAAGCATTTTATGGCCTGGTTCTTACTGATTAAACACTATTAATTTAGTTATTAAATACTATTTAATAAGCTACTCTTACTGCACCAGAGGGTCACAATCAGCCTCTCACACGTATTCAGACATACTGATGGTTTCTCATTTCTCCTTTCCCCTTGAGGTCAGTAGACAAATGCCCATGCACACAAATTTTGAGTGCTGCTGAGATTCCATGCGTGTACAACAAAACAGAAGTATTTTTTAAGGTTCAGAACTGTCTTCAAAGGCAACTGCACATGGACACCAGAGAGCAGGTTTCCTTTCAATTGAGTCTTTGTTCTGGCAGAAGTGGCAAAGTTCCTCTGCACACAATGTAGCTACCTCGAGTTGTGTGCTCAGTCTGATCACATCATAAAAATAGTATAATTTTTGCTGGAAAGCAAGGATGTGCAGTGGTTAAGTAGTCCAGCCTTTCATAGAAAACTATGTTTTATAGCTATGGACCTTCCATCCTAAGCTAAAGAAATTTCAGCAGTGTTTGAGATGAGCCCTCCTAATGTTTAGGCAGTAAAAGTCAGATAAATTTCACCTTGATGAGACTTCCAAGTGTTGTCAATGTAAGGATTTAACTCCTCACAACTTGTCATGGTTTAAGGTTTCCACAGTGAGAAGAAACCTGTTTATCTTTGTTGCCATGTAATTAATAGCCATCTGCTTTTGCAGTGAGTGAAAGTTTGTCATCTCTGTGGTCCTTTGAGTTAGTGTGAGTTAATGGAAAATGTGTCAAAGAAAGAAAAGCATTTATGCCCTTGGTCCTTGCTACGTCTGGGGGTATACCCATTCTTTAGAAGTGTGGATTTGTGCTTTTAGTCATGCAGCCTTGGCCTTATTCCAGAAGAGGGTATCTCAGGGCAATCTGTCTCATGTTCAGCAGACCATCTGTTCTGGTGACAAGTTCCCCACCTTGCTCAGGGCACTTTTGTCAAGTGCTGCTCTCTTATAAGGCCTGCCTTGAACTTGCTTCAGTTCCGAAGCCATGCAGCCATGGTCCCCAGGAGCTATGCCAGTTCCTGAATGTGGAACTCCAGAACTAGTGCATCAGTGTCAGGCACTCGAGTTCAGGATGCCATCTCAGACTTTTTTAGCTGGCAAGCCTTTTCTGAGCTTCGTTGCCACAGCCTAAAGAACATGGTTTTTGTAGCCTTGCTCACTCCAGTAATGGGAGTCCAGTCCAGTGTTTTACTCTGAATAATCCTGCCTGATACTAATACGTTATCCAAACAAGAAAAAATCCATTTTGAAATCAGCCCTTTCAGCTGTAGGATAAATTTGAAATAGCTAGTTCCCAAACTTTCTTGTGTCCCACTCTGTCCACCAAAAATCCCCACAAACAACCCCCAATCCATAAATAAAAAATAACAATTCTGCATTCTCATTGCCCCACAATGCCACCATGGGAAAATCAGCCATTTGTTCACATGGTATGTATTCATACGCTGATGGAAGTGAGAAAGATTTTCCCTTTTCTCTATCAAAGGCCCTTGGTTTACCCTTTCCTTTTGAAAAGAAGAATGAGCAAAACAAATGCTTTTTATGACTCTGTGGTTCTCCCCCCCATTTCATTTTGGTTGTTTTTTTTTTTTTTTTTTTTGTTAAGAATGCTTTAAACAACAGCTGTGGCACCCTCTAGAGAGTCCAAAATCCCATAGAGCACCTTGCAAAAAAGAATTCTGAAAACATTACTGAAAACAGCCCCTTCCACACTGCATGTATGTCCCCTTCTGCCCCCCATGATTTCTTGATATTTATGCTATAGCAGATTTATCCCTCTTTCTCTTCTCTTTCTCTGTTGTGGTTTGTTGTTATTTTATAATTTCTTTTCAGTGTTGATGCAAATTCCCTATTGTATTTCCCCTCTGTTCTAATCCAATTTCCATATTCTCTGTGATGTCTTTCCTTATCTTCATTTCCTCATTTCCTTCCTCTGCTTTCCATCAGCCTCCAAAAAAGATTTGGGATTATACTCCTGGAGATTGCTCTATCCTTACTAGAGAGGATAGAAAGGTAATTGTGTCTCACGTATGTTGCACTACAGCATCTAGCGTGTATATATGTGTGTATGTGGTTTTCTTTTCTTTTTTTTTCTTGTAGCATTGCTTGGGTTTTGTGTGCTTGTGAGTGATTTTCTTTTTTAATTGGGCTTGAACTCATTAGCCTAACAATTAAGTAGCTAGAAAATTGATTTAATAAACAATTCTGATATCATAATCAGCCATAATTTAGAGTGGTTGTTTTGCTATCTTGACTTGCAATGATAATTGTACTAACAGCATATTGCATATTATTACAGTATCTTTTTTTTTCTTTACAGGTGGGTTTTATAACATTATGGTTTGTAGAAATAGATTCTAGCAGGCCTGTGCATCTCTTGATTTTAATGTTAATTGCCTAAAACGATTTCCTCTATAATGATTGAAACATGATTAGTTGCTAGTGATTTTCTGTGTATTGTCCATACCACCTTCCTCTTTTTCGATTAAAAAGGCTCTCTTTTTTTTTTTCAAAATTAACATTCCTTTGGTTTCCCCTAACCCTAAGCATTGTTCTCCCATTCTTCTTCTCCTTCTTTAACCAGAGTGATCTAGAAAAAGACCTCTACCTCTACCAGACTGAGTTAGAGGCAGATTTAGAAAAAATGGAGAAGCTTTATAAAGCACCACATAAAAAGCCACAGAAGGTATTTCCTATTCTTTTCATGCTGCCAATCCCCGTTTCCAAACTCTCTGCTCTAATCTATTCACTGCTGGATGATTATTAAATGAGGTTGGGATAAATAATGGTTCTGAGCGTTCTGACTGCATGGCTTGCTGTGTTGCTGTCAGAAATAATAGAATGTGATGCTGAGAATCCAGCTTGAAATCCATTTCAGATATAGTGATTTCGTCTCTCTCCCCACCACCACGTCTGCATTCAGCTGCCCCCACCCCCATTCCAATCCCCATTTCAGGTTTAGAGTTCAGTGTCTGCAAAAAAAACCCTCTCTATTTTTCACATGAATAGGCAGCAGCAGCAATCAGCTTAAAATTCTTGGTTGGCGTGTCACGTCATCATCTCGTGCCTTTCAAGCGTGTTGCCATCTACTCTCCCTTCTTACAAGCCCCGCTCTCTGCTTGGAGCTCACGCCTACCCAAGATTTTGGATATTCCTGAGAGATTTTACACAATTTTCCTTATGCTGCACCTTCCATGGCCTTCTAGGGCAGGTCAGCTGCTGCTGCTGCTTCGAGGGTCTGCAGCACTCGAACCATGAAATGATAGATTAATTGGTAACACGCCATTTTTTTCTTTTTTTTTCTGTTGCTGATTTTTTTTGAAGCTGCGGCATTTCACCAGGACTTGGAAAAGCTGCTTTTTCAAACCCAAGATTTGCTTTTTCTTCCTAGATAGAAATCCTCACATAGATGAGGGGACACCAAATAGAGAATTGCTTCTAAAATTGCCTTCAATTTTTAAATAACGTGTCTAAGAAGCGTTAGATGGATTTAAAGCAAGCGGCTAAGAACTGGCTTTTGCTATTGAACCTGTGCAGCTGGCATTGCTTCTCTTAAGTAAGGAAACTGAACTGAAATGTTGCTTTTCTTTTTAGAGCTTTGATATTTTTTGAATGCTGAGGAATGTATTGTGCTGCAGAAATGTAATACACCTTTAAAGCAAAGGCGGGCAGTGACCGGTTGGGGGAAAGCTTGGGGAAATAATTATGAGCATGTGTTTCCTGGTCATGGCCCAGCTGGTTATCTCTTCTTGCTTTTGGCTTTATTCACAATGACTCATTTGCAGACAAAAGAATAGGCACTGCAAAAAGGCATCGGCTGTGCTAAAAACCTGTCACTGCCCTGAAGGAACTCACGAAAATTGTTGCTTTTCTGCAAAGACATTGACAGCTTAAATTGCATTTAGATTTAAACCTCAATGTCTCCTATAGGCTAATATTGAAGTAATAGATGAAAAATTACTTAAGCAAGCCTTTTTCTTTCTCCTCACATGTAAGTGCATATCAATGACTCCTTTGTTTGGACTTTTGCAGAATACAGCAGGTGTTGTTCCTCTGGAAACTTCCACAGACCATTCTTCCTAGTAAGTTTTTCAATTGCTTGTTGATGTCTCTTTTAAAATCTGAGGTCATGTAGGATAGGGTGTTGGATGTTGGAAATGCTTTGGCTTTTTGTGGGATGGATATAGACAAATGCATGTACCATAAGAATTATATGTGTGCTTTAGGTAAGTCCTGGTACACTGTCTGCTTTCTGATCCAGAATGTGTTTTGAAGTGATTATATGACTGATTGCATTGTCTATGTAAGATTTGCTGATTGTGCTAGGCAGTGGCTTTAAAAAAATCAACAGACCTTTAACTTCATCTGATGAATTTTGCAAATTGACTTCATGCAACATTATTGTGTGGAATACACAAAAATTGTTTGTTACACATGTGTGATAGATTGCCTGCTGCTAGATATTCTGTGTTACATGCACCAGAGCAGATGGATGCAGTTGATGAAAGGCAGTAATTTTCCAGCCTACAGGAAGGGAACAGTGGTAGGAGTAACAATATTTCTCAAAGATCTATTGGGCACTACTTTTTCAGCAGAATATGTAATGAACACTATATTCTGTGTAAATGAGTTGTACATGGAACTGGTTTGTTTTAGAAGAGGAGCACACACACGCAAAATCCAGAGCAAAATGCTGAGCTGTGTTGAGTTACTTGAGTTATACTGAGTTATTTGAGCCACAGAGCCAGTCCCTACTGTGAGCCTACTGCTCCTTGTAATTGTACTGAATGCTCCATGTCCATAGGCACAGTGATCCCCTCTATGAGCATGGTTTGTTAAAAAAGGCAGTTTCTCCTCCAGACGTCCATTAATATCATGTGTGTTCACTGCCCCTCTGGAGGCCTTAGACGTCTCCTGCACTTCTTTCAACACAATTTCCTTCTGTCTGTGCTCATTCTGCTGGCAAACCCACACAACCACTGCAACTCTATCATTTTGGTAGGAAGAGAGCAATAAAATAAATGGAAATCTCAGAGATTAACAAAAATATCATGTTTGCAAGCAATTGGTAGGGTTTTTGTTCATGGCAGCACTATCTGTGCCACACAAAGCATTCAGGAATGCCAGTGGAGGGGAAGCAAGCTGAGTATGCTAGGAATGGGGCACAGGAGTGAGGCCCAGTGGAGTTGCACCTTTTTCCCTGCCCTTGCAGGCTGCTTGGGCTCCAATACAGTACTGCTTGCTGGCCTGAATAAGGGAGCAGCTAGCAAAGAGATTCACCAAATGCCTCCTCTATCTCCCCCAGGTTTAGTCCCAAAGGAGGATTGTTTTAACCCTTTGTTTTTTAACCACTAGGCTAACAACTAACCTCAGCGTAATCATTATTCTCTGCAGCAACTGGCTGGGTTTCCTCAGGTACCTGCCAAAGAGATGCACTCTTTATCAAAGAGATATCCCTGAAAAACAATAGCTTTGTAGCCATGGGTCTGTTTGGGCATTATCTAGGTTGAAAAACTGACAATATTCCCTTTCTCTTTCATGGTGCTTTTCATGAGCTTTTCCTCCAGAAAATAATTTATGAGACTGCATATGACCTGGTTTTCCTTGTCCAGAAACTAAAGTCATCTTTGTGATCCAGACATTGTGTAATTCTACCTCCATAGCCAGTCCTCTGACATGTTTAAAGCTTTCTCTTTACCCCAGAAGTACAGCATCTATCCAAACTAAACAGATACATGTACAAATTTATCCACAACAAACAGATATAACCACAAACATTTCCAAGTTCTCATAAATTTGAATCACTCTTGGACATGAGGATGTCAAATATTTCTATTAATTGGAAAAACTATATATTTTTATTTTTTCAAATTTTCCAGCAGTCATGCTTTGGCCTCAGAATAGCTTTGTGTGAGACTCCATCTTATTCTGAAGAGCCTGGTTGAGCACAAGGACTGGTATCAGTTTAGCTTAGCTTTTAGGAAAACAGTCTGCCTGATTGCTTAGTAAGTTTTTTGCACCTGGAAAGGCAATTTATACTATGGCATTGTCAGTTATTCTTTTGGAGAGAAAACAGGGAAATCTAGAAATCAGATGTGTGGGCATACTTGTGCTTAGGTTCATGAATACAAAAAGGGATTTGCAATAAATTTCCAGTCTTTAAAAACCTAAGACCTAAAGAAATTAAAAAAAAAACCTAAAGAAATTAAAATTGTACTAATTTTAACATCATTCTGTTTATATATATGCATGGTTGACCTAAAGTCCAGGATTTTTATTCCCTGTAGTGGAAGCCTCTGGCAAAGCTGAACAGGATTGTGTGCATCTGGAAATTCCTCTGGCAATTAAAACAGTATTAAATCTATATCCCTTTACTATTGCTTCTCTGCACAGTCCCTCACTGACAGGCTTCAGAAACTGGTCAGGGAATCTTGAGCTGTAGTGTTGACTGGGAGGCTGAACTGGGTGAGGTGACCCCCTGAACAGCTTTGTAAGCATGGGACAGGCATGGCTAGTGTTTAAGAAGAGAGAACTGGAAGCTGGAAGGTTTTGTGTACTTCCAGCTAGCCAGTGAATTTTCTTGTGTCTGCAAAGAAATCATGCATCAGCTCTGTGACTGTTGTCTTATCTGTAAAACAGAGGAGTGCTTTCCTGCTGCCTGTTTTCTGGGGGACTAAGACTGGAGAGTTCCCTCAAGTGGAGGATGCTTTGGTAGTCCCAAATGCAGAACACTATTGCAATGTATTCATAACCTCTTCATCACCAGTTCTTCATGCACAGTCTATTCTGTGTTCACAAGTGTGGTTATCTCTTAATTTACATCAAGCTCTCAGCAAACAGTTTGACCTCCTGGTGTCCCTTTCCTTTTTATTGTGTGTTCCAGCTCCACTTATTCACCCAACTACCATGCAGTGAAGAGGGAGTCAGAGCTAGCTGTGGGGGACCCTGCTGCCTTGGAGAATGAAAGGCAGATTTACAAGAGTGTGCTGGAAGGTGGAGATATCCCATTCCAGGGGCTGAGTGGTCTCAAGCGACCTTCAAGTTCTGCTTCCACAAAAGGTGGGTGGTTAGAACACTAACCTCTTCTCCATTCTGCAAAGTGTCAGGAGCCAGGTGATATGGGCAAACTGTTGCAAGGTTTAGAGTCCTATTCAAGCCAATTGAGATTTATGCTATCCTTCCTCTTTGCCATCCCCAGTGTTCCCTCCTTTTTTCTCTCAGAACCACAATGGCCAATATTTTTAATGATGCCTTTAACTGATCCAGGTTCCTCTTCTCAAGAGAGATCAGCTCCCTCCGTTCAGCACCTCAGCCACAGCCCACACCCTCATGTTCTTCCTCAAGGCTGCTTAGGCTGGCCTTGCTATCCATCTGCTCCCACTGCCTTGCCATTCTAGAGCCCTTCCCTGGCTTTTCTGTTCTTCCCACAGCAGTATCTCAGCAGGCCACACCAGTCTGCTGGCCTAGCTACCCTGGTGTAGCTGGTGCCCTGTGCTGCACAGCCTCCTGCCTGCCAGGGCTGTGCAGAGAATGCACTGACACTGAACCAGCAATTGCTGTCTGAACCAGCCCTGCAGGCTCCAGGAATGTGAGCCAGAAGAGACCAATCTCCTCCTCTTCTCTCCCCCTGTTGCAGACTCTCTAAAAGAGACAAGGAAGAGCATGACTCCCATCAGGGAATTGTACAAGGGAATGTATCTCTGAGCCAACTTCAACCTAAAAATGGCTTGAGATGGGGAGAGGACTGGAGAAGGAATGTGCTGGGTTTCTGAACTGCTCTCCCTAAAAATAGTACATCATACCAAAAAGGTCTCTCTGTATCCATCTTCCAGCCGTTTTTCAGCATTTTGTCAGGCCTGTAGGGCAGGGAGTCAAACTGGATCTGAACAAAAAAAATCTGTTCAAACAGTTCCCCAAGCTGCAATTGAACCTGAATGGTTATTTTGACATTTGAATTTGAACTCAAATCGGAAACAGACCTAAAAACTGCAGTCTAAGCTGAAACCAGACTGAATCCTATTAAAAAAAAAACCCAAAAAGAAAAAAACAATGTCCTCATCTGACCCCTTCAATTTTTAAGCAACCATGGCCAACCACATTGTCTGAAGGACACTCAGCTTATTCCTAGTATGGAGAATCTCTAAGCAGGCATCTCTTGGGCGAGGTCAGCTGATGTGGTGTGCTTGTGCTAGCACAGTCAGCCTCTGGTTGTTTTCTTCCTCCCAGGAATAAACTGTTTGGCAAGCACTGTGGTAAGACCATAGTAGGTGTGATTACAGGCTTGGTATTAAGCCATTTTTGCAATGTTAGTGTCTCTGCATTCTTGCTGACACCCTGATCCTGCCCAGAGTTCAGCTGCCCTTTTCCATGGTGCCACAGCTTCCCTGGAAGCTCATGATGCTTAGCACTTTTTAGGAGGGTACCTTAAAAGTGCTCCAGATTTGCTTCTGGCCAAGCCTCTCATTTTAGAAACATTAACAGCACTTCACCTACTCCTCTAAGCGTGGCTTGTTTTGCAGTTTCTTCCTGCTTTTCTTTATGTTTTGGAATTTTGTTTCTTTAAGGTGCATTCTATGAAATCCAAGCATGTTCTTTCTCCTTTCTCAATAGCTTTCTAGCACTTAAGCTAACAGGTTGTATTTATTTTATTCTGCATGCTTACCAGTGGATCGTAAAGGTGGGAATGCTCATATGACTGCACCCTCTTCAGTTAATAGCCGAACCTTTAATGCTAGTCATACCGGTATGTTAGGTCACGCATGTAAGCATAAGAAGCCTTTATCAGCTGCCAAAGCCTGCATTACTGAAATCCTCCCTTCTAAATTCAAACCCAAACTAGCAGCTCCAGCTGTTCTTGTGCAGGACAAGACGGGTATCTTGCTGTCTCATGAGAAAGCTCAAAGCTGTGAAAACCTTCGTAGCTCCACTGCCTTGTTTGATAATAAAAAGGCTTTCATGGTAGACATAGGGGAAAGCATAGAAAACATCTTGATGAAGTCGAAGCAAGAGTATGCCATTAAATCTGGCAGTACCATGAGCCTGCAGGAGTATGGCACCAACTCTAGGAAAGGCTACCTGTTCGCTGCCTCCAGAAAGAGTGGGGTGGAGTTTACAACACTCTATAAAGACATGCACCAGATCAACCGGTCCAGGATCCATTTGGACACAGTTTCCTCCTGCAGTGTGAAGGATATTGCATCTCAGTTTGAGAATGAAGCAAAGGACAGGATGGAGCACAGCCTTAGCCGAGAGGATTCAGAGCAGATCCCCAAAGACACCGTTTCCTCCCGTATCAGTGCCTTTGAGCAGCTGATCCAGAGATCCCGATCAATGCCCTCACTTGACTTTTCCATTGGGCAAAACAAACCCACCACTTCTCTTCAGTCTAAAACTTGTCTGAGTGCTGCATACTCTGCAGAGATTCTTCTGGATTTGTCAAAAGCACACCAAGAAGAGAAGGATGTTGCCAGCTTTGCAGATAAATCCTCCCGCTCCTGCAGCAATGTGGAAGACACGGCTTCGGATGTCAGTGATGTCATCCCTATGGACACACTTTCAGCTTGCACTGATGAGATAGATCTTCTCTCAAATGCCTCCAATGACAGTGGCAGCAGCTCCAGCAACCTGAATGGGCCTCAGAAGCATAAAATCAACAGATGCAAAGGCTCATGCCCAGCTTCCTACACCAGGTTCACAACCATCCGAAGGCATGAACAGCAGCAGACCTCCAGGCACCCTGATTCCAAAGGGGATGTCTATGGGGACAGGCACATGCTCCCCAGAAATGTCTACCTAATGAGCCCGCTCCCATTCCGATTGAAAAAGCCCTTCCAACACAAATCCTGCAGAACTCCGCCCCCAGACTGCCTGGCAAGCCTGGCAGTGCCCAGCCTTGAGAACCCAGACGACCCCATACAGCTGCAGGGGAGTGTAGGAAACAAGAGCCATCACTCCCAGCACCAACCTTGCTCCAGAAGCGGGCCTCTTGCTCCCAGGCGCCTGTCCTCCTTTGACATTGTGGAGAGGCTTGGCTACTTCCCCACCATGGGATCTAGCCGGGATAGCTTCATGGGCCGGGCTGACATTCCTGACTCCTTAAACAATGGGAACCCTGTTTCATATGCCCTCTACCACAGCCTCGACACAAACAACAACCCGCAAAGTGAACTTGGGACGTACCTAGGAGGTGGTTTTTGTGTTCTTTACCGGTGTACCTTTATCTGTCTTCTTTCTTCCATTTTCCTCCTCTTTTCTTCCACAACCCTTGCATTTTTATGTCCCACATTTACATTCCCTGACTCTCTGGTTTTCTCCCCCTGGTGTGTCTAATGTCCTTTTGAGTGTCTTGCTGAGCAGTTTTGTTCAGGGCTTGTTAACAGCTGCACTTCTGAGAAACAATTTCCATTGCATTTCTAATCACATCAGGTTCAGTTTGTCTCTCTGGGGATGCAAGAATCTCAACATGAGATAATTTCTAGACCTGTATCATTTACACACATGGGAATTATAAACCAAACCCAGATGATTTGCTTTAAGGAGTAGTTTCTCAAGGTCTAGTTGTGTGTGTGTGTGTGTGTGTGTATTAAACTTTTATCAACAGTAAAGTGCCAAATCATACTTAGATGACAGTGAATCTTTTCTTCACAAAGTCCTTCTATGTCTTTACTCTTTCCTGTATCATTATTTTCTCCCTGTTCTTGGATCTTTGTTCACATGTAGAGCCCAAAAGGGAAAAAAATGAAAATGGATAAATAATCAACATCTGATTGGCAATTTGGTCAATGGCAATTGAGAATCCTTACTGTCATAATGGAAACAAATTGTTTAAAAATATTTCTTTTTTTCCTTTCTGGTTATGCTAGATAAATCCATGTGTATTTTAACTTCCTTATGTTGTTTTGAAGTAGATTCAGAATCACCAAGGCATTTTGCACCAGTTGATTACATGGAAACTCCAGAAGAAATCCTCCGCAGGCGGTATGACGATAAAGAGGTAATGCCCTCCTTTATAGCTTTATAACAGTAGTGGCAGCTCCACATACAAGAAATGCAGCATTCAGCCTTACATAAGGATAGCTTGTATGTCTATGGCTCTGTGTCCTGGAAGTTAGAGTAACAAGCAGTAACTAGTGTGTTTTACTTTCAATACTCTCTGCCACTGATTTGCTGTATAATGTGTATAGTCCAGTTCAGTTTGTTTCAAATAAACCTGATAGTTCTTATCAATTGCACAAAGTTACATACAGAGGCTTTAAGTAATATAAAAAGGTTGGAAATGTATGTGAGAAGTGGTACAACACCCTAGTACTTGCAGAAAAAGATTGGTAATCTGTAATTGTTCTTCATGCAAGCCACTTGAGTCAGTATTAATCAAACTGGTGAAAACACTATTATTCCTGTGGTGGTCCTCAAGTTTTGAACAGTGAGTGCAAGATATTTTGTTATCAGAAATTGGTAAGTTTTCTGCCAGTGTCTGAAGTTGTTGTCAACAGAATGTAGCAGTCCTTTTTGAAATGGCTGGGTAACAGTGAGACAAGCTGAAATAATAGGAAAGCCGCATAGACTTTTCAGCACTGAGTGTATTCAAGCTGAGTTAAAGAAGTTATAAAGTGCTTGCTTTCTTGGAAGGTGGAACTAATTTCCCTTGCTGGTGGGGGGCGGGGGGTAAGTTTTGCTTTTAGTGTTAACTTTCTGAGTTCAGATAATGTTTATACATGCTTTGAAATATGGTAAAACCTGTTCTTAATTCCTGTGTGAAAAATTTTTTGCTGTCTTCTCCTGTGAAAGTTAGTAATTCCCCCACTTCCAAAATCCAGCATGAAAACTCCCGTAAGGTAAAAAACCTGGATTCAGTAAGACCTGGTTTCAAATGAGTTAGCACACAACTGAACTCTTCAGCCTGCAGTCAGCCCCAGAAGATGGAAGAATCCTTCTTCACAGATGCACAAGAATGCATGTTTCCATTTAATGCGCCAGAGACTTCAGAAATCCAAAATACTTTTTAGGTGTTTATTTACTTCATTATACAAAGCGTGTTACGTGAGCCCAAAAGAAGTATGGGAGAACCTGAATGTGTTTAGGCACTCTCCCAAGCTCTTTGCAAGGCTTAGGAGAATTTGGTGCCTCAGAACTCAATGGGGCTGATTCAGGTCTCTTGGAAGTCAACGAGAGAGACTTCTTTTTGGTGGAAGGGGGTTTGGATCAGGTCTCTGCATTATTAGCAATCTTCTTAGAAGCTCCTAAGACCTGCCCAAAACTTAGAAAAACTCCTCATTGACTTCCATTAGCTTTGGATCAGATCCTCTGTATGAATTAGATTTCAGTTATGCCATAATGATGATGTACCTTCTGTGTTTGTAAAATGAAAGGGTATTGTTTAGTTAGTAGAAACAATATTTGATACTGAACTGCAAAGCCCCAGCTATTTGCAGGGAACTCAGGAATATTAAGTCAAATTTATGGCAGCTTTTGAATGCCTTTAACTAGATGATTTACAGCCCATTTTATGCAATTTTATGGCAGAAACTTTTAGAGGACCAGAGACGGCTTAAACGTGAGCAAGAAGAAGCTGATATTGCCGCTAGAAGGCACACAGGGGTTATTCCAACGCACCATCAGTTTATCACTAATGAACGATTTGGGGACCTCCTAAATGTAGACGATACTGCAAAGAGGAAATCTGGGTCAGAGGTCTGTTTTAGTTACCTCAGTCTGCTGCTTGACCCAAAGCAATAATTGCCTCTCACAATGTTGTGCTTTAGGCCGACATTAGCTCTTCAGAGAATGTCGTTTGTTGTTTTTTTTCCACCTTCCCCTTTCTCATTCTGGCTTCATTTAGATCTGCTTTGACTTTTATGCCTGGTAAATTAATTGATATCTCTATACCAAGCTGCATATATTAAAGCATGCCTGCTGAGAATTGCTGGTGCACACCTGTGATGCATGCCTTTAAATATCAGCTACTTAGTCAATCAAAGGCATTCTACATCTTTTGCATCATATTGCTACATTGTCTTCTTGTCTGTGCCTTATGCTTAGAAACTTCATGTCCTGTTGATCTGGCCATGTGGCTGTCACGTAGTTGTGGGTTTTTTTAGAAATACATTGTTTCTCCTCTTGAAATATGCTTAACGTCCCTTAGAAATATTCAGAAAAAAAGTCTCAGCATGTTTCACTGCATTCAACTTGGTTGGACTTGCTGAAAGAGACAAAGGAGGAGGTGCATATTTTTTCCAAGAGCCCAAGGCACTTTCCTGGAGGTCTGGATGTTGTGTCCAGGTGTCATGGCCAAATGCCTTTCCTGCCTCACATGGATTCCTGCTGGGCTCTTGACAGCAGCTCTGTTTCCCTGGAGGTGCTGCACTGTGGTGGTGGGTGAGGTGCTCACCGTATGGATGGAGTACACCTGTCTGCCTTTAGTTTCAAATGCTCTGGAGCCTCATCAATGTGACTGCTTTGTATTTTATGCTCTGTTACCAAACTTACTGTAAAATTGTCTGAATATTCTGTGGCCTTTAGAAAATTAGCCAAGTAAACCTTTTAGAGCCCAGGCCTGCTGTCAACATACATTTTGGTTCTTTAGCCACTGAAGACTTTTTTTAAACGTGTGCCTAATTTATTCATATTTCCCTTTCACCTTTGTCTCTTTCCTACCAATTGATACAGAGTACAGGGTCACATTGCAGTATTCGGCAGGGCCAGATAATAATCAATAAGAGCCACATCTAATAATATCCTACTGTTTTTCCCAGCTAGTAAATTTTGCTTTTCCATTCAAATGCCAAGAGAAATTTGGTCCTGGAGCCCCAGTAATTGTAGTTACTGGATCAGCTTTCATTCATCAGGGTTAGTCACATTAAAAGTTGACTGCTGTTACTTCCATTTCCTGTAGAGCTCCTAATTATTGCTATGCCAGAAGTTGGCGCTTTGTGTCCTGATGGGAGATGCCCATCCAGCATATTTGGACTGTAATACCAGTTGCACGCAAGCTTGTAGCAGAATACCTGCATCCAATTTCCTCCCCATGCTAATCTTAGCTGTAGAAGAGTTTGGGTGATTTTCCTCAGAAGAGGGTTGAAAACCTAATTATTATTTTAATATATTGATTTTTTTTTTTTTTTTTTTTTGATCTCCAGATGAGACCTGCTAGAGCCAAGTTTGACTTTAAAGCACAGACACTAAAGTGAGTACAGCTTGTTGCTCCTACCTGGAGGGTTCTTCCTCTGCTTTTTCCCCTAGGATGCAGCATTTTTGACATGTCATGTAATTGGATTCATGTTTTAGGGTGTCTTTCCAGTTCCCAAAGCAAAGTTGTTCATAGTAAGGCAGGAAAAAGTAATATGAACCTTGCAGACCATAGCATCTAAAGGACCTTTAGAAAAATGTCTTCTTTCTCACTGCATCTCTATCCCCTATGATTTTTAGGACAAACCTGCATTCTTTACTGCAACAAATGAGTGCTCTGCCCTGCAGGTGGGTGGAGCCACAGGAGAAGAACATCCTTTTCACTGTGCACAGGATAGCCCTTGGGCAGAAGTTAAACAGATGCCCAGCTCTAAGCATGTGGGCCCCTGGCTCAGCATTTTCCTGATTCAGGACAAAGAAGTGTGCAGAGTGGTTACTGCTCTCCTGGCATCTATGGATACATCAGCAGATGTTTCAGATGTCATTGTTGTGCCTCCAAGCCCTGTTGTGGTCCTTTGGGTGAATCCTATGGCACTACTTGTTCTTTTTAGAGAAGACTGCTGTGAAGAGAAGGCCTGGAAAAGCCTCTGTGTCAGCATGAGCCTGGAGAAGCTCTCATTTTAATATTGCTAGAGAGGGAAGAAAGAAGAGCAGAATTCAGTGAAGGACCTGCATGAATGAGCTAATGTCCTGAGAATACTTTTTATATGTTCTATAGGTGATGATTTGTAATAATTTAAATAGCATCTCCCTAGCACCTGTAATAAAACTGAGGAAGATTAGGTGTAGCTGTTGTGTCCCTTGAGTAGAAGATACCAGAGTGCCAGACAAAAGTAAAGCAGAGCTCGTAAAAATCGTCTTGGAAAAGGCTGTGTTGCTTCTTTTCCTCTGGGGACCCAAGTTGTAAGTTTATGAGCTTAGTACAAGCTGGCCACAGTTCCTCAAGCTGCAGACATTCATAATTTTAGCACTGAAGCCTGTGAGTTGAAATTCCAATTTTTAGCCCAGTTGAGGTCAGTGACTGCTCAACCATAGGCTGACCATCAGTGTAATCATTGCAGGATGAACTTCACCATGCGAGTATGTTAATCTAATCAGCAAACTAGCTCAGATTAAAATCATATGTCTCTTTGGAAGGTGTTTGTGACATGACTATTTCAAAACTTGAATTGAGGGTTGCTCATCATATCCAGCATGGAAAGTAGCCAGTGTCATATTTGACTTGAGCTTTACCCCATTGCTTCTGGAGACCATGTGGTTATTAGGGCCCTCACAGGCCAACTTTTTTAACAGAATGCCCAAAGAACAAGAGAAGTCTTGCACATCACAATATGAACAAAATCCTCAACAATTAGCTTGTGTTTTGGGTGGAGCATGATGTGTATCAACATGCTGATGGACACCTTGGTACCTAGGAATTGCTGGACAGAAAAAGAACACATCTGTTCTCCTCCAGTGAAGTTCTGATGGAGTGCTTGTGTTGTTAACAGGGAACTTCCTCTGCAAAAAGGAGATATTGTTTACATTTACAAGCAGATTGACCAGAACTGGCTCGAAGGTGAACACCATGGCAGAGTTGGCATCTTCCCACGATCGTACATAGAGGTAGCTGCTTTCCTTGCAGGTGTTCTCTTTGTCTGCTCCCTTTCTGCCTGAGACCAGTTTATGGGCTTCATGTATGAGACTTAGCTGATTCTGTATGTTTGTTCTAGTTCCTTCCACCAGCTGAGAAGGCTCAACCCAAAAAGCCGTTACCATTGCAAGTATTGGAATATGGAGATGCTATTGCTAAGTTCAACTTCAATGGGGATACCCAAGTGGAAATGTCATTCAGAAAGGTAGGGCTTCTGTTGTGTTGATTAATTGAATCCAGACATGAATGAGGTTTTTTAGCACTAGTAACTTGCAATTTCCAAATGAAAGCTCTAATAAAATGGACTCTGTATTCACGAAGGATTCCTCCTCATCACCCATGTTTTTAATCCACAGTCATTATGTAGCACATTGCAGTTTTTGTTGCAGGTTGGCTAAATCAAGAAGTGCCAATTGTTTCATTAGGTCCAACTGAGAAGATACTTTGAACAAGAGTGCTGGAAACCTGGCTCTGCCAGGCAAATTAGATACTTGGTGACAGGTCTTTCCAGGTTGGTTAGATTCAGTGGAGGCCCACGCAGTTACACAGTGACTACAGTCACACAGTTACAGTGATTTAGAAAAGAAGGAAACTGGGTTCACCATCCCCATGCTACAAGCCAAATCATTGAGCAAGCCAGGTTCTGTGGTATTGAGGTGACTGGCTAGACTGACTGCAGAGTGAAGGTGTGGGAAGGGAGCCTGTTCAGAAGAAAGTCATCCATATTTAGATTAAGTAGCAGAAATTCTCCATCTCGACCAGCTTTCTGTTTTGATGCTCAGATTAGATCTTCTCTGTCTTCTCTTTTAATTATATATGAAGGTGAGGCTTGCAGTGTATGTTAAGGGTCTGGAAGTTACTTTGTCAGCAAAACATGGAGAGACCATAGAGTGACCTAGTTTAAACTGCAGACCTGTGCATACTTTCTGTACACCTCATATGCCTGAGAGTCTCATGGTCAGCCTGAAATGGCTGCTTTCCATTTTTAACTGGCTTTAGCAAGTAGGGTCTTGAAAATGTGAGCATAACTGAATCTCTAGACAGACCAAGTCAGTACCAGAAGATCCACAATTTTTTCTTTCTCTGTACTGAAAAATATCATTCCCACCCAGAGTTTAGGATTAGGATAATTGGAAATAGGTTGAGAACCACCAATTATTTTAGGTCAGCTGCACCAAGATTTAAAATGTAATCTGCTTTGGAATGATTAAACATGTTAAAATCAGAACTCCATTGCTGTTCCTTCCCACAGGGTGAAAGGATCACGTTGATTCGACGAGTGGATGAGAACTGGTATGAAGGAAGAATCTCTGGCACCAGTCGCCAAGGCATCTTCCCCGTCACGTACGTGGAGGTGCTCAAACGGCCAGTGGTCAAGAACGCCATTGACTATCCCGACCCACCCGTGTCCCTCTCCCCCAGCCGCAGCATGACAGCTTCACCACAGGTACTAGCACTAGGTGCAGCGAGGTGCAACACCTTGCAGAACGGTGGGATAGTGGCATTCTTGTGCAAGAAGCAATAGCTGAAAGAAAGTTGTATTTAAGACTAGAATTTTGTGCCATAAAGCTACGTGCTCCCTGCAGTAGGCTTCAACTGCAGGAAGAGGTGATGTTTCATTTACCAGAAAGGTTAATGAACAGATCATTTGGGGATTTGGAGACTCAGCTTTGTATCTCTGATATGGAGCTTGAATCCAGGCCAGGTTGAAAGGGCTGCAGTTTCACAGCCACGTGATTAAATTTCACTGCCAGAGATGGAATGAATTAGTGATCCAGAGTGATCCAGCTTCTCCTGAGTATGTGTTTACACTTCACACACCTTTACTGTGATGAGGGGAATTTTATATTATGACTGTTAGAAGTGTCATAGTCTGTAAGGTTTTAAGAAGAGCTATAGTCTGTAAGAGTCATTATATTGATCCCAATCAGCTTGAATTAAGCCGTATACCTGCCCCTGTATGATCTAACTCATGACCAAGGTTTTTGGAGACAGGGTCAGGAGAACAGCCTGTATTATTTGAAACTGCTGCTACATGAACTCCGGTTTTGAGAGCAGGTCAGTCTGGGATCTTCCATGAATATTAGATTCACTACAAACCATACTGCAGTTCAAAGAAAAAATCAAAATGGCAGCAGGTAATTATATGGGCATCCCAGAATGTTTGCCATGGCAAACTTATCAGGGAGATAGTGAGTCTCTAAATCCCTTTGTTTTGCTCCCATCCTGCAAATACTCATGCCAGAGGAAGGTCAGCATACACGTCTGGGTCATGGCCATGAGGTTCTGGTGCATTTCCCTCTCACCCATGGGACCAAAACAAGGTCAAGACTGCAAGAAACATAAGGGGAGAACTGGGATTCTGAGGAAAGAATATATGGTACAGAAAGGATAGGAAAAAAGATGCCATGACTCATGCCTGTTGACTGTCTGGATCTTTCCTAAAACACTAAAAAGGAGTGTTTTCAGTCTTAGCCACTGTGTAAAGAGGAAAAACTTGACGCTTGTTTGGGATTCTCAGTCAAAGTGGACGTCAGCTGAGCTTTTCTGTGAGCTTGGCAGCCTCTCCATAGCTGTTCCCTATCTTCCACAAGCTCCCTGCAAGCTTCTTCCTTGGATGGAAGGCATCATATCCACCTTTTTTTAGTTTTCTTTCCTATTCTTTTGACTCCTCCCCTATAAAGTCTCTCCCTATTTTTTGCCTGACTTGGCTAAGGACTGAGAAACAGTCTGACAAGTGTTAATGTAGCTGTTCTCACCAATGCTCCTGGTGGTAAAAGCTACAGATAGGACATGGTAGTATGTTCTGTCCTTTAAATACAGGACCTATTTTAATCACCTGAAGAGCTAATAGCCCAAGCTGGCTTTTTTGATCCCTTGCTCCTACACACCTTCTGCAATGCATGCTTCCTGAGGAGCAGGCATTGCTCATGCTGGAGTTGGATAAAGTCAAAGTTCATTGCAGCAGTGAACTCTGGCTGGATCCACAGTGTGAGTTGCTGGGACCCCAGCTATTGCTGCCAGGCCAGTCCAATGCTGCATTCTGCCATCATGATGGTGGCTTCAGCTGCTCCCTGAAGGACTTAGAGCTTATGGTATGAAGTCAGAGGTCACAAGGTGTTTTGTGTCTGGGATACTGGCAAAGGCTGGAGAAGGGTATTAGCAGCACAGGTACAGACTGGACTCTGTGGTTGGAGTAGCTGTGGACAGCATTGTCTCCAACACAGCAGAAGAAAACTTATACCTGTGGTCACAGATCGGCTTCTCTCCACACTTGCTCTCTCTCCTCTTACTTTTGCTTGGTTTTGTATTTTCTTTATTATTTTTTTTGTTCATTTCTTTCTTTTTCTCTCCTGCTTTTGTCTCCTTCAAGTCTCCCAGCTCTGAGCTGCTCCATACTCCAACTCCTCCGCCTTTGCCTTTTGCGCGCCGCGCTTTGTCTCCAGAGGTGCAGGCGGTCACATCCGAGTGGATTGCTCTGACCGTGGGAGTGTCTCCCAGCACCACTCCTGCCATAACTCCTCCATTGCCTCCTCCGCCTGAAGCCTCCCTCTCTCACACTGACTATCTCTCGCCTTCTGCTGCAGCCAGCCCTTCCCCCACAGTCAGCCTCCACCATTCTCATCTCTCTGGCTCCTCGACTCCCAGGTCCATTAGGTCCCCATTGCCCTCTTCCTCATCCAGACCTCAATCCTCTGCCCGCAGTTTCTATCAGGCCACTCCACAAAATGAAGAGAAGTTTGTTGACTCCCCTTCTCCCAGTGTGACTTACTCTAACTCCTCTCGCTGGGCAGTGGAGAGCCCCGAAAGCATCCTCGCAGAGCAGCGTGACACCACTGCCAGCCCAGCCTGGCTCCCAAAGACAGGAGAGGGCAGCAGCCACGCTGAGCAGAGTGCTCATGCTGTCCCCAAGATCTCTGTTGAGCGCTGCCTGAAACCGTCCCAGCTAGACATGCGTGCGAGCCCAGAAAGGAGACCTGTGGGTTCCTCTGAGGACAACCAGTTGTGTCAGGAGCTAATGGCTATTGTTCAGGGAGGTAAAACAGACAAAAGAGACGTGAGGAAAGATGATACAGGAAAATTTCAAAGCGGGGAAAAGAAGGTACCTCTGCATGTGTGTGTGCTGCTCTGAATCGCTGATTTTTGTTTAACTGGTGGGTTGACGTTTGTGCTGCTCTGCTGGCAAAGCAGAGCCAGTGGCTGCCACATGTCATTTTGATGATCTTAAGACATTTTTTCAGGGGTCACCAGTGGCATTCACTTATAGCAGATCAAAACATTTTGGAAGAGAGATCAAGAGCAATGTAGAAAAAATTATTCTAGAATAGATAACACGGCACTGACACAATCAGTCACATCTAATGAGGAATGAGGGGATTGGAATGGAATGAGGGGATTGTCCCAGACAGTGGCTATTACCAGACGCATCAGATGAAAGCAACACACAGGCCCACTGTGCAGAACACAGACGTTTTCTTGCTAATCAGAGATTTTACAGTGTGCTCTGGATCATTTTTGGTTATAGAATTTGTTGGTTTTTCCTAAGGACCAAAAAGCATTTTAAACATAAGCCTGGTTCCTAGAATCACAAAAGGTGTCCCCTGTTGATCCTGGAGCCTAAGTGAACCTTAGTCTGGGATATGCATGACTAAGGGAGTTTTGATTGTTATGTATGTATTGAGAAGTTATTACCTTTGCATTTCTAAAATTATATGAAAGGTTTCTAACCACAAAAGAGAATTAGACCTACTGATGGTCTCCCCCAAGAGTTTTTAGTTATATGCAGCCGTATGTTACAATTAGAGGAAACACGGTGAGAACTCTCCAGTAGCTTCTACAACATATCTTCAGCCCTCAGTCTTTGTATGGGATATATACTTTACTTTGTAGCTCTCTGTTGCCTTGGGGCACATTGTGGGTCACAGCCAGCCCAATTACATTACAGTACCCCAAGGAGTGTAAGTTTGGAGAATTTGAAATCATAGAATTCTAAATACTGTCTTGGATGCACTGCAATAGCCTCCATGACATACCCCATCTAGCCAGCATTACATAATGAGAAACCAGGGTTTCCAAGATGACATGTTTCACACTGGGCAAACTTATGACAAATAATTTGATTTCTGCTTGAATCATAACCAGAAGTCTACTGAGAGCTGTGTTAATACTGTACTGTTTACCATCCAGATATATTTTAGTAGCATTTTTTAGACTTAACCTGCATGTTTAAAACAGAGTGAGGTGGTCAACTCAGACAAACCAACTGGAAACTGCACTTGTCCTTGCATGGAATTACTGTTGCTGTGTGTGCTTCAAATTTACTGGATAGTAGATGCTCTTATCACTAGCAGTGGTTGTGATAAGAGAGTATGTGCCAAGCTGACCAATTTTTCTTTTCTTCGAAAGACTGCAGACTCAAAAGTATTCTCTTCATCTGCTCCTCTCTCTTCCTCTACCCTCTCTTCCTCTACTGTCACAACACAGCCACCTCCCAGACTTACACGCAGAGTCAATAAGCCACAGGTAATCATCTTTGCTGATTACTCTTCCATTACTTACAGTCGTTTCCATGCCATGCCATTGTTTTGTCATATGCTTATTTAGCAACTCATTGATTACACAGGTGAGATAATTTTCCCTTAAGTTAGAATTTTTATTAAGAAAAAGAAAAATTACTTCCAGGCTGTGCAGATGGGCAAGTATGGGCAAAATCTTCAGCTGCTGCAAATCTACATAGATCAAACCTAGGTTTCTGCTTGTTTGTACCAGCTGAGGATCTGTTTATTGGTTCCTCCAAAAGATTAACTCAGGGCTTACTTAGTTCTGACTTTGAGTTCCTACAGCTTGATTGCATTATAAGGCAGTGTTGGTGGCCTTCTTAGTAGGAATGGTGTAGCACAAGAAAATTTGGTTCAGGTATTGTTTAACCATCTGAGATCAGGATTCAAGGTTTGAGCATCTCAGAGCTGGGGATAAGGCATACACATCTTGGTATCCACAACGCCAGGGGCCTGCTCTGGTCTTCTCAGGTAGGATTCAGAGGTTCTCAGCTCTGTTGCTGAGAGCTACAAATGTTTTTGAAGAGGGCTGCAGTAGGGTCGGTGCAGCATGGCTCAGCCCCAGCACTGTGTCTGAGGTGCCCAGAGTGTGGGAATGAGCAATGCTTACATCTGCTGGTGCCTCATCAGTCCTTCAAGGCAGCTTCCACAAGATGGCAATATTTGAAACAGAAAGTTCACCATTAACAAAAACTGGAACACTGGACTGACTTTGTACCGATGGGTATTGGGGAAGCAGTCTTTAGCTTGATCAGTGAACCAGGCAAGTTGGTCATACAGGATGAATGTGGGAAATAGTTGCCAATGTTACTTACTTTCTTGATTAGATTAAGAGAGAGAAATAGCTTAAACCCTGAAATTTTCCTATTACCTTTACTCATTTTCTTCCACTTGAAGCTTGCACAACTTTTTACTGAACAACCACCTCCTGCTTCCCTTTCACTTTCAACATCTGAGTCCAATAGAATACATATTCTGCTTCACATTAAAAATCCATAGCAGTTTCCTGTGTTGGCCTTTTTCCTGAGCTCTGATATGCTGGGTCATGCTGGTACTTTCACTGGATATATGTGACCCAAAAGAACAGGAGCAAAGAGCCACATTTAGACAAAGATGTTTCTCTCCAGTGATGGTTAGCACACAGTTCTATTTTGGGTGTTCCACCTGGTTGCAATAAAACCCCATGGCCTTTCTTTGTAGTCAAAGTCAAGTCAATATTTATATTTTATATGCCTTGACAATCAGAGCATTGTCAGTGTCAAGTTAAAACTATGTGTGACATTAGCAGTAGTCTTGGCCTCATTTTCAGCTCCAGGTCCACAGTTCTTTAGGGAGCAGGAGTGATATTTATATGTGCAAATGGCTTCTCATTATCTGTGTGATCCATACAGAGGCTGATAGTTTCAGCAGAACTTCAGGTAATACCCTGGAGGCTTTTCAAAAATCTGTACCTCTCAACTGATTTTTATCAAATGAGAAAATCACTTAGCAGACATGGAAATGAGACATTACATTTGGGTTTTCCTTCCATTAGTGTCTGTCCCTGGTGTTTGACATACTTTATGATTTTGAATTTTAGTTTTCTTTCTCATTATGGATAACCTCTCCAGTTATGAAATTCTGACCCAGGGTTTTTTGCAGGTTTAAGACCTTTGGTATAGGTCTGGTGTAAGGACTCTGTTCTTACCTGTTACATTAAATAAAAATATAAATTGCATTGGCTCTTTACACTGTTCTGAAGTTCCCTTTTGTTTGTTTTCCCAGTCCAAACTAAAAAGAAAAAAGAATTACCTCACAGCATGTGAAGATATTTCAAGTATAATTTACAGATAACTTGTCTCAATATTCTAGCAAAATATGTTATTAAGGAGTAACATAATCTATCAAATTAATTTATTTCAGGGAACCTGCAGGAATTTTCCATTCTAATTCCTGTTCTACTCAGAGATCCTATTAGCACAGTGTCACAGTCAACAGTGGTGGCAGCAAGTGTGTGAGCAGTGTGGTGGCTTTGGCCCTGGGGCCGGACTGTGGCTGTGGGGTGGGGAAGGCAGGACTGGCTGGACTAGGGTCTCTGTATCAGCAACGTGAGGGATGTTGGTGGGACCCATCTGCTCCTTGGCACTTGTACAGAGCCACTCCAGCAGGGTGGTAATTCACCTGCTTTTGGCTGGTAGAGAGGGGAGCATGTGAGGTGGATGTTCAGCCCCCATGTTCTCCAGCACAGACCAGTTACCCCCAGCATGTTCCTTGCTTTGCACCGTGTTCAAGGTAAACTTATACCTCCTGCAGTGGCTTTCTGTTACTCCACAGATTAAGCACAGCAACGTTTCTGCTGAGTGCTTGCTGTCCAAGGCAGAGCTGCCCAGCCTGCAGCAGGCATTTTGCACCTGTTTTCCAATGGAAATGCCTTTTTCTGCTGTAGACACAGCCTTCAACTTCTGATCCAGGGTCCAGGGGGGGTCTTTCCACTGATTATGGCAGCATTCAGGTCAGGCTGCTCCACTCTGCAGCCTTTTCAGTGTCCTTTGTGAGAGCTCTTCAGCCAGCTTTCCATTTGCTTTCACCAGAGCTGGGCTTGGTGTGTGCAGGGCTTTTCCTTCTGTTTCACCTGCGCTGGGGAGGCCTCCCTGTTCTTGGTTCTTCATTCACGTGGGAGCATCGGTGCTGATGTGTTCCCTCCTCTGAGGGAACACCAGTTTGTCTGTCTGTCTTGTATGTCTATTAGTCTGTTCTGTTTAGTTTTGTCTTTCCTTATGTAGTTCTTTAACTCCCATCTGAAATGGATGGAAGACACAGAAGCAAGAGCTGCAATGGGTAGTTGCACTGATGACACTGAATTTCACTAGGAGCAGGGAGAGCACTGCTGAGCAGTCCCAGCATCTTTGTGCCTAACATTTAAAAGCTGCCTTAGGGCTTTTCTAGGCTCTTAATGTAGAACCTTTTTCTGGTGATTTTACAAACTTGTGGCACTCCTTACATCCATCCCCAAACTCCATATGAGGTGGAAACACTGGCCAGCTGTGCTTTACGACTAACTGTACAGCATATTTGTGTGCACAGTCTGTAGAAATGGAGACATAGAGACTTCAGCACGTGCTTAAGTTTATTCACTTAGTCTTAACAAAGCAGATAGCGTGGCTGAGCAGGTAGAAGTTGAGATGTCCTCACAGGTTGTGAATACTTGGTCACTTTTAGGGCCTTCAGCTTGCCCTCAGCAGTTACAGGGCTGGCTCAGTGTTCTGGGGGGAAGTCTTTTATACTTTTGAGCTGTGCCAAACACTTCCTGGTTCCTCAGCCACCTCTGGCACAAGGGAGCCACCACTGTAGGTAGTATATGGACTGTCTAAACCTCTATTTGAAGAGCATTTGGACCTATAGTTGCTGACTGTGGGGTGTTTCACCACCTCACTGCAGGACTCTGCTGCAGCCCTGGGAGTTAGTGCTTTGGTAGGAGCTGCATGGATCTCAGAGCAGAGGCCAGAGGAGATCACTTAGTCATGTGTCTTGTCAGGAACTGGAAGTTCCTGCTTGGCCTTTGCCCCAGCCCAGCTGCCTCATGGAAGTCCCCATGAAGATCCTGCCAGGAAAGGAAATGTGACCTGGGTTCTGATGCTGCACCTCCTGGTAATACAAACCTGCACTGTGGAACATTCAGAGGCAGTGTCAATTTTTTAGCTTTCAAAAACTAATTTAATTCATAGATACTAATGCTTTTAGGAGGAAAAGCTGTGCACGAAGGTCACAAGTAATGAGTGGGAAATGGACCATGTGGTCTTAGCTCATGGAGCAATTTCAGCAGTCAATTTATCGGTATGGAACAGAGAAGCACTTTCTTGAATTAAAAAAAAAAAACAAAAAACAGCTAAAAACATTCTTACAGCTGCCTCAGGCTGAAAATTGTTTTTTCCAGCTACTTAACCACCTGAGTTAGCTCTGGCCTCATCAGATTTGATGCACTATATCCAGTTAGTCTGCACAATATTAACTTTAAATTTGTTCTTTTTTCATTTGCCTTTCAGGGCTGATGATAGGCAGGAGGGACTTCCAGAAATCCTGTGAGGATTTCAGGCTCCACAGTAAATGCTTTGAATGCAAATTCCACTGCAATTAGTAGATTGAACTTACATTTAAATTTCTTTCTCTAGAAATATACATAGTAACAGAGCATTGTTTCATAGGGCAGCGATCCCAGATTCCAGCACCAGAGAGTAGAGCTGACTACAAAGGAGTTGCTGTGGGGCTGGGTTGGCCTACAATGGGTCACAGTCCTTGAGAAAGGAGATGGTTTGCTTTAATACAATGATGGGCACAGCTCCAGAGGTCCAAGATGTGGTTCAGTGGAGCTTTGAGAGGAATGAGCTCATCACCCTGCACTTCTCCAAAGTTTTCGAGCACGCTTGGGCTGAAGGTGTCACAGACCTCTCTGCTGTCTGCTTCTGCTCTTTCTCAGAATGCCATGAAAAAGCAAGCTTTTTACTGGAGGGCACTGCTGAGGTGAATAAAGAGGAGGACAGAAAGCTTAAAATTGAGGCCAGTGAAATTAAGTTTGAAAATTGTGATGAATGATCACAGAGCATGACCATGCTCTGTATCTCAGCCCACTTTGCCAAGCAGCCCTGCAGGCAGTACACCAGCTCAGACATTACATTTGCTCACAGCATGCACCTTGCTTTCTCTGGGTGTTTGAATATGTAAAAATGTGCAAAACCAGGCTGTGGATATCTGTATGGCTTTTTCAGTGATCTTCCCCATAAAACCTGCAGCCTCAAACACTGATTTCCCTTTATGTGTCCTTGGACACACAGTCCCTGTGTAGAGTTGTGACTGTGGGGTGAGGCAGGGCAGAGTCCAGAGCTTCACTGGTGGTGGTGTTTGGAGCTGGGTTTTTCAATCAAGGCCTGACCTGACACTCTGCCTTGTTGTGGGAATTAATAAAACATTTCAGAGCCTTGCTTGGAATAGGATAGAGTGATTTTGTTGGGGCTACATGGCATTGTGCCTTCTGAGGACCTGAGCTGTTTGCTTTCTAAAAAAAGAAAGCAAGTTGCTGTTCTCTTCTGTGTCATTGAGGACTTTTCTGAAAACAGCAACAGATGCCTTCCAGCATGCTTTTGGCCTTTCAATTTTGATGCTCCCAAGTATGTGTTCCTTTTGGCCTTTAAATTTTGATGCTCCCAAGTATGTGTTCCTGTCTGTGTTCTTTTTGCCCTACAGGAATGCAGTATGATTGTACCATTTCTGGCTATAGCAGTGTCCATCACCTTCCACTCTGATTCCCTGCCTACCTTCTGTTTTGCTTTCCCTTGCAGCATTGTGTGCTGCTGTTGCGTTACTGTAGCCTCAATGTCTCTTGTGTAAATTAAGGATCTTGCTGTCCAAAAAGTATGGTATTGGGCTGGGGAGGGGAGGAGTTGTTCATTTCCTTTTGTTGTCTGCACTCCATTTACATTTTTTTTAATTCTGACCAATGTAACATCTGCTAAAATGTCTTCCTTATCATTTGCTTGGTGATCACACAGCCTTCCCACCATTCATTGAGAGCTGGACCAGATCTCACAGAGTCTGAAAAGAGCTATGTGGTAAGGCCCCTGTTTAACTCAGATGTGTAGTCCTAGACACTCTTCACCCAGACAGTAACACCTCAGTAAGAGATAAAATGCCAGCACTATTTTTAGTTGCAAAGTAGATACATATTTATCTCTTTGCATATCTTGCTTGTTTGCAACAGAAGGAAGGGAATTTAACAATTAGAAAAAACTGTCACAGCCAATGAGAAGTTGGGCTAATTGTGCTGCCACACCCTGGGTATAAGTTAAATGAAGCCAAATGCATGAATGGAGCAGCCCAACCTCACCTTGCATTCTTGAACTGACTTCATAGCATTTGGAATGGTGCCACTGCATAACTAATTGCAACCTCTTATGCTGCTTCTTTTAAAAATATGTGTAAATGTATTTGTTACAAATCTTCAAACTAAATGCCAAATTCTTCTGTGTCTTGCCTGTTTTTCCATGCTTACATCTGGATCCCTTCTGCACTCCACTACCTGGATATTTACCTGGATCTACAACTCTTCTTTTGTTTTTGGTTTTTTTACTGGACTTATATACTGCAACTGGAATGTCCCATCTCTTCTTATCTATATTTTCCCCTCCCTTTCCCCTGTTGACTGTCCTTTGGGTGTTCTTGGATGTCAATGCTGCCTACCACACAGGAAGCTGTTTGCAATGAAATCATAAACATTGCAGAAAAGTCTGTTCATTACTGCAGTACTATTTCTCAGCCTCTTGACTCTCGCCACAAGGTGACCTCTAATGACCATAAATCATCTCTCATCATTTCTCAGCAACCTCAAGCACAGCAGCAAGGAGCCAGCCCTGAGCGAAGTCAAACACCACGAGACATGTAAGTTCTTTTGGTTCCCATCTTTCCACAGCCCATATTTCTGACTGGTGGTGAAGATAGGGAGGTATGAGAGCTCTCAGTGGTAAATTAGAATCATGCGAAAATGTCAGCTTTGCTTTAAAGAACAAAAGTAGCCACATGTCATCATAATGAGTTTCAGACTGCGCCCTTTCTGTCTGTATAGCACCTGAAACAATGACCTGTATAGCACCTCAACAATGATCCTGGATGGGGTCTCCGTTACAGAGGCTGTCTCAGTGTCTTTGTATCTTGAAGCTGGCAACAAGTTCATATCCCCTGGCTATACCTGATCAATGTGTTCCACTCTGTTCTTGGCTTCTCACAGTAGAGTGAGAGTCCCAGCACCGGTGCCACTCGGTGCATTGCTGGCCAGTTCCACAGGTGCATTTGTAGCTGAGAGACCAGGGGTGAGATTTTCAAAGCTGTTCAGTGGAGCTGCCACTAAGCTTGGTGGGGCCTTAACTGATGGTTTTGAGAGTAGCAACATGCACTGTGTGCTGGGGACTGATGGTCACAGCAATTGGCTTGTGAAAGGAGCCTTTGCTTTTTGCAGAGCGAGAGCATCTCACATCAGCTCTATTTTCATGCTCCATAGGCAGGGGACCCTTGCCTCCCCAAATTTGCACAAAGATTGTTTCCACTCCATAAGGATCCTTTCTAGTGAATACAGAGTGCCTGTGGTACAAATGACATCTCAGGGCAGGATTCAGGCTGGGTTTTTTATTCCACCATACCTCCTCAGCCATGATTTATCCATGTAGATAGAGTGCAGTGGAGTAGGCAATATCTTTTTCTAAAGTCCTTTGTTCTGCCCTTTGGTCAATTATGGCTCTCTCTGCCTATGTGCCTGGGCAAGGAAACACCTGTCTCCTTTAGTCCAAGAATGAGAGTATCCAGGTTTTGGCTTGGACTCAGTTGGCTGTCTGCAACTGAACACTGTCTAGGTGATACATGTTAGGAAGAATCTGGTTGTTTGTCTGTGCAGACAACTACATGGCAGAAAGGGATCAGAAGCTCTCCACATATCCCACACAGTGTAGGTATGACACTTTTTACTACCATGACCTTTTGACAACAGCAAGTTCAATGCAGGTGGCTTCCACCTCTCAAAAGGCAAACACAGGTCCAGACTGCATTCAGCAATATGTAATAGGAATTAGGGGAAGAGGAACATCTCCTCCTGAAGGGATGTCAAAGAAATCCAATGACTAACATCTACTGTCTCTGGTTTTCAGAGTTAGCTACCAAGCCCTCTACAGCTACACTCCTCAGAATGATGATGAGCTGGAACTGAGGGACGGTGACATTGTTGATGTCATGGAGAAATGTGATGACGGCTGGTTTGTGGGTGAGTGTGACGCTTGCCTGTGAGCAGAGCTTTTTGGGGTGAGCAGTTTTGCAGAGTGTCTGGAAGTTGCTTTCATTTTTGGGGTCAAAATGGTAAAAAAAATTGACTTCAGTTTTCCCACAATTTCCCATCTTTTCCCACCAAGAATATTAAAATTAAGCTGCAAGGTGGTGGAGCTTTGTTTTCCTTGCTAGGTCTCTAGTACTTCCTTTTTTATCTTCTTAGTATCTCCATTCCTCTCTTCATCCTGATCCTTCTTGTTTAGACAGATGACAGAGCAACAGAGGGAACCAAGAAAAATTGGGTTTCTGTAGCATTTCGAAAGCTGAGGGGAGGCATGACTAGTCACAGAAAGTGGCAAGTAGAGGGTGAAGACAACACATGGATAGGAGTTGCAGTCCCTGAAAATCCAGCCTCAAGTGCATGTTTCGCAAAATCCTTTACCTTCAAGGAGTGCAAGTCTGGACAGTGTTCTCTATCTCAACGTTTCAAATCTAGGCTTGCCATCTCTTCTTAAGGGGATTAGCTCATTTACACTGAGAGGAGTTTGACTTCTAACCTATAGGCCCAGGAGCTTTCATCAGCACCTTATTAATTGTTAAAGGGGATGACCAAAGACGATTAGTAGCAGAACTAGTTGTGATCTGGTTTGTACCAAAAGACTCTTTGACTAGGGCTCCCATTTAGTATTAGGAATCAATGCCTGCAGGCAGAAGAGGTTGCCACCTGTACCTTTTTAAACCCTGGAGCCTTCCTTGCATGTCTCCATCTTACTATGTCTTCCTTGTGTTTTATTTTGCAACAGGTACATCCAGGAGAACAAGGCAATTTGGCACCTTCCCAGGCAACTACGTGAAGCTTCTCTACCTGTAAAGTAACAGTGATCCCACCATGACAAGGATGGTGGGATTCCTTTCCAGATGGTGATTTTAAACAGTGAAGAAACAGACAATTTATGAATGTACTAGACAAGACATGAGAAGTGTTAGGAGGATGTGGTTATGTGGTACACTATTGAGTTGAATGTGTAGCCCTGCTTCCATGGAGTCAGGGTATGATTTGTTTGCTGAAGAGACAGTTTCTAGTTTACAGTGCTGCCTTTGTGTATTCCTCTCCCTTCCCCAGTAAGAGTTTTGATGATAATCTTAATTTGTACGGAGTACTTACCTCTGAGAAGGCTTCAGGGAAGCACATGGTATAGGTTTTGTTTGTGTGTTGAGATAGGGTAGTACTTTGGGGCAGTACTCAGCCCTGCAGCTGCTCACATTGGTTGGCACAGGAGTTCAGGAACAGGAGTTCCAGAAACAGGCTTGCTGCCCAGTTTCTGCCTTGCTGAAGACTCACTTTTCTCTGCCTTCCATTTCCATAGAAAACCTTTCCTTCATGTCATGCATCTTAAGACCCAACAGAAGCAGAGGACAGCTGATACAATTGAATTGCAGAGCTCTGTGTGGAAAAGGAGCTGGGGATTGGTGATTTAATCCAGAGAGGTCAGCCAAAGCATAATGCAAATGTGCAAAAATCCCAAACCCTTCAATAACATATTACTGATCTCTGCAGGGTTTTTTCTTTTGTGCAGGGGGTGTGTGTGTGAATGTATTGTGTGCAAAATTAACTGAGACCTGTTTTTTAAAAAGAAATCAGCCTAGATTTGACATTTATCTGCACAAAGAATAGAACCAATAAACAGAACATCCGTGAGGGCAAATCCTGTTTATGAGTCCTACGGCTGTTCACTTTCTCTGCTCCTCTTGCCCTATCGCTGGCCCTAAAGGATCACACACCTTTTCCAGTGTATGCTTTGGGATGAAATGCTGGGACTTCTTTCCCAGCATTAAATGTTAGAGGCTCTGATAAATCTGAACAATGTATCACTGAGGGTGCCTTTTTTTTTTCATTTTGGTTACAGTGTTGAAGGTAGGTCAAATAAATACATGCATTTTGGCTGCCTCTTAGTCATACAAAAAAGTCTAATCAATTTGGAAAGCTGTTCCCAACATTTATTACCAGTTACATAGATTTGTATTTCCTTGAGGGAAAAAAAAACCCAAAACCATGGCTTGGCTCTATGTTTGCCTGTAAATCCACTATGAATACTCTTTTGATAGACTTTTTGTTATTAAGAAAAAGCATAAACAAAACCAGTTCTATCAGACTCTGCTTCCTACAATTGCCGTACAAATAGCAAAGGGTAGATTGCTATTTTGTCATAAGCCGTATTTAATAATATAAAATGCCTATTTTTATGCTGATGCTTTTATACAGATTTATTAAGAGTAAACTACAACTAACTGTTAGCACGACTTGCAATGTTTTGATAAACTAGCCATGCTCCTGGGTTTGAAATCAAGAAGGCTTGTCTTCCGTCTCAGTCAGCGGAAGAGAAGACTCTGTGTCTCAGAAGTTTGACTGTAAATATGTATATTTAACTTTGTACAGACAATGTACTTACCTTGTATAGAAAAATAATTTAAACACATTGAGTGAAGGGAGGGGAAAAAAGGCAGTTGTGAAAGGTTGGGATTTTTCCACTTTAATTTAAGTGATGGAATTCCGTGTATGTTCACATAAAGAGTTTTAGCACAAAATATTCATTATGAAAGGTTTCAGATATGATACAAAGCACCACTGTTTATTTTCTGCAGGAGGTATCTTGAATCCTGCATCTTATTTATGGGTTAGTTGTTCTGCTTTGGGTTTGCCCTCTAGTTATTTGCAACAATGTTTAGGCCTGTTGGTAAGATTGGATAACACCAAATAAATCTATCCAGCAAAGTAACATGTTGATATTGATTGTATATAACATACTCATTTAAAAGTTAATTTTCTGTTCCTGCTCTTGCCAGTTTAAGTTAAACATAAACACACACACACACACCACACACATATCCACACAAACTGCAACTTCTTTTTGTGTTGATTTTTTGTTTCTTATTGCAGTGGATTACTATTTGGCAATTAATAAATGGAATTATTGAATTACTATTGTGTTCCTTGTACAAATTATTAAATAAAATCTACTCTGGTTGTTCCTGTAGCAATGGACTTTTGTATTAGTGCCCCGCTGTAGCTTTGTATCCATACTGATGTGTGGGTGTCTGCCATGGACTTCACCAGTGTCCTGTACCTGAGGATCCTGCTTGTGATTTGGCTTGAGCTCATCAGTCCTTCCTGAGCTGTAGGCTGGCTGTGACTTTTTCTTAAAGAAACCAAGGTGTAAAGGCAGAGGAGAAGCTGGTTTACACACAGATCTCACCATAACATGGTGTCAGGGTACAGTTGCTGTGGCATGCACACAGACCCAGCAGGTTAGGAGTACACCTCTGTCCACTGCTTTAGAAAGGGTCTTTGTGACCTCAGATGAAAAGACCATCCAAGTTAAGTCAGGCAAGAAACTCAAAATGCCAGCCTGTGGGGAAGGTATGTCAGTTGGTGTTGGGCTTACATGTGCATTTTTAACCCTGACTTGTGTTAAAAGCTTTAAGACTCTGCTGTCTGGTAGCTGCACCCTGACAGGGCAGGTATGGCTACAGCATTAACTCATGGGGTTTGTAGGTCTGTGGTGATTGTGTCCTGTCTCCCTGCAGCAATACACCTAGCTGGGACTTTCTGGGCGTGCCTTGTGTAAGGGAACAGTCCCTGAAGGAGTAGAGTGAGGGAAGGCATGTGCAGGACTGTGCTCACCTTAAAGACTGGTATTTCACGAGGAGTTTTAACTTTTTGGAGACCTCCATCTCAGACTAAGCCAAAATTGCACAACAGATTCAAACTCTGTGATGATGCGACTGGATGGCCAGGCAGACAGATAAACATCATGGCTGCACTCACAATGCTTTTAGGAAGTCAAACTGTAAACAAGATGATCCTAAAACCAAACTACCATGACAGAAAAAGTCTGGCTACTGTACATGTGTTTAGAAAGCACACAGACACAAGCCCTTTTTTGTTTCACAGGTCTCTATATAAAAGCCAAAGGGCAGTCTGACCATGGTTTTGCTGACAAGCACTGCTCACCTTTGCTTTACAGCCTGGACAGGGAGGGGAGAAACCCATCTGTGACTGCTGAACATGGGTATTTACTCACTCTAACCTAATCTAAGGTAAGGATGCTAGAGGTGCTAGTGACTTCAGTAGCTGGGCAAGCAGAGAGGGGAAGGTGACCCAGCAGCGTGCAACAGCCCTCTGGAGATCCTGCACACTGCTGTGGCAAAGCAGTCTTTTTCTTCGCTGTCACGAGTGCCACACCGATGATGTAGTGGAAGAACTACTTCTCTCTGCTAGGGATGAAATCAATAGTCTGGACACATGGACCCTGGAAGGAAAGAACCTGTGAAAAGACAAGCTAATGCAGGAAAAAGGGCACAACCACAAAAGGGGATTGTAGAAGTGAGGGTGTGCCTTGTGATGGGATCATTTGTGGCCATGTCTTGTAGGACCAGTACCTGGATTATCTGCATCATTCCTACTTGCTGCCTGCTCCATGCTCCCCAGCTGTGGCTGAATCCCGGCTTCAGCTACAGCTCGCTGATGTTGTGCTTATGGGTGAGCTGCATTCATTAAATGAGCAGCAATGCTTGCATTCCAGTTGTAAATGCCAGTGCCGTTGCTGTGACCAACCTTTCCCACTTGTCCACCATCAGATTACTGAGGGCTTAATATGCAACTGAAACAACTATTTTTCCTAAATCACAGATAAGAGGGTTGGCTGAAAAACCTGTATAGAAGAATTCCTTTCATTGGTGGCACCGTGCTTAAGGGGCTGGAGATAAAGAAAACGCTGTTTAAATCAGTGAACCTGGGATAAATTAGCAGAGATGTAACACCCTTCCCAGGCTCCACCTCACTCAACCCATCCTGGCGGGGAAACTGCAGGCAGGGCAGCTTAATTCCATCGCCTCCATTAGGTTTCAGAGTTAACATTGCTCCAGGCTGGAGAGTATTTGCCTGGGAGGTGCCGCACCGGGGCACTCACTCCTGCGTGCGGCTGCCTGCCGGAGGCTTGTCCTGCCTGCCAGCAGGGAGCGGGTGAGGGGGGCCGGGATTCCCGACCCCGGCAGCCGCCCTGCCCGGGGCGGGCGTGTCCCCGAGCCGGGGAGCGGCTCCTGCCGGGGAAGCGGCGGGGAGCGGGCGCTGCTGCCCCGGGGCGGGCCGGGGGCGGGCCGGAGGCGGGCCGGGCCGGGCCGGGCCGGGCCGGTGCGGGCGGCGGGGCTGTCGGAGCCAGCCGCGAGGTGCAGCGCGCACATGGGGACGCACCGCATCGTGCTCTCGGGCCCCGGGCCCTGGGGCTTCCGCCTGGTGGGCGGCCGCGACTTCGAGCAGCCCCTCGCCATCTCCCGGGTAGGGTGGGCTGCGGCGGGCGGTGCTGGGGGCGGCCGGGGTCGGCTCGGGCTGGCAGGTGGCACAGCGGCAAAGCCGGGGCGGGAGGTGGGCTTGTCTTTTTCTCCCCCCTGTTTTTTAGTTTGTTTGGGGTTTTTTTTGTTTACGGAGAAATCGATGGTGGCACACTCAGCCCCTTCACCTGTAGCAGACCGGCATCTTTGCTTCCCACCGAACCTCCCTGCTCAGCCTGTCCATAGGGACCCTGCAGGCAGTAGGAATCCCCTGAGCCCCCGGTTCGGGTTTGGCAGCCCAGCCTGTGGGAGCCCGTCTCACCGAGCGGGGTTGAGTGCTCGCAGGCTTTGCTTGCCATGTATAGTTAAGAGCCTTTGTTTACAGTAGCCATGTTAAGGTGTATTTAGTGCCTCTGCCCGTCTCTGTTCGAAGTCCTTCTTGCTCCCCCCTAGAAGAGAAATTAGTTAGGAAATGGCAAAAATTTTGCATCGGAACAATTTTAGGGTTGTACATGGCTTTTCCCTCCTCTGCCCAGCGTTTGGCTGTGCTCGCTGCCTCTCTGTCCTGTCCCCACCTGTCCCCACAGGCGCCCGGCCCGGCCGGGAGCTGGGCTCTGCCCCCGTCCCCTGCAGGCTCCCAGAGCCGCGGGCTCGCGTGTGCGGCCCCGAACCCCAAACTCTGCTCGGCTTTGCGCGGGGTGCACTGCACAGAGACTCTTGTCGGGCTGGCTGCAGGTCTTCCCGATGGGAATAGGAACGAAGGGATTGCTCCTCGTTCCAGCAATCCCTCGGCAAAGCAGAGGCATCCAGCGAGCTGCTCTTAGCCTGGGGCTCTGGCATCTGCCACCATTGCACAATTCTGGAGTGCCCGCATGCCCCAGGTGAGGAAAGGCTGCGGGAAGTGGAACGTGCCAGAACTTGAATTTACGTGAATTTACTGCCCTTAAAGAAGACCAGGATGGTCAGACTTGTGAATTTTTATAAATGCCTCCTGCCACGGGATCTCCTGCCATGGGGTCCCACTGCCTGAAGGAGCCCAGGTGCCTCGGGGAAGCTGCCAGCTGCGGGAAAGGCAGAGCTCACAAGTGCTCTTAAGCCCACGGGGGGTGGGGGGGGTGAGTTACTAGTTTTCTATGTAATCTCTTTCAATTACAGTAATAATGCTTCATTTTTCTAAAGCATTTTTGGGACGTGAAAGCACCTTTACTGTAAGGGAAGTGATATTTACTTCATTGTTATGGTAATTATTGCCATTTCCTTTCAGCAAGAATCTCAGGCAGAAGGGTGTCTAAAGCCCTACCTGCTCTTAGCTCTTCTTGGTCGCTTTTATCAATGCTTATAGGCACCTATCAAGGGACATAGATCAGCAAAGCAGCAAAAACAACCACCTCATGAGAAATTCTGACCCTAGAGACTAAAATGTAATAAAATAGCCTCTCTGATCGTGGTGACGTAAATGCTGACAATTAGTAGCTCTTATCAGGGCTTTCTCTTGTGACCCCTCTGACACTTTTAATTTCCCCTCCCAGACTTCAAGTCATTAATCTTTCCTGTGGTTTGCTTGTAAGGCTCCTGGATTTCTCTCCTGGGCTCAGGAGTGAAATTCTTGGCAAGTCTTCCCCTTACCATGTAAAAAAATATCTGATCCAGTTTTGACCTGTTTTAAAAAGTCTGTTCCTCCGTGTGTGTTGACTTTACATATTCTTGCTTATTTTATTTGGTACCTGTGTTTTCACCAGGGACGTTTCTGGCACAGAGCCCTTCTTCCCTCACAGGATGGGGTGAGCTGTGGCCGTAGGACTGACATCTACCAGGGGTTGTGAGGGCCTTGGTCCTATTGTGTTATGAGATAGAGAGGCTACCTGAGAGGGTGAGGAGGCTGTGACCTGTGATAAGAGCATTACCCTGGGAGGCTGGGAGGTTGCAGCTCTCCCTCCTCAGCACTTACATTTGCTTTGTGCTGCAAGTGGGTGTGTGCACAGATGTGCTCATGAGCAGCGCTGTTAGCAGGGGTGCACAGGGCTGGGCTGCTGCCCTGGGCATGGGGAGCAGCAGCATCCTGACACTAAGAGTGCTGCTGTTTGTGTGTGCTGTCTATGGGGTCAGTGCTGCCCCATGTAGCCAGTGGAGCCTGTCCCAGTGATGCACTGATGGGATCACCATGCTGTTCCATGTGCTGGCATGGTGGGATGCCAGGAGAGATGTCCATCCAGCCATAGACCTCAGCTGAGTGTCTTGCAGCTCTCTTTGAACCAGGTGCCTAAATTCAGCCTGCATTGCCTGCCAGGAGCTCATGTTTAGCTTGTGGCACCATCATGCTTGTGCTGTTAAGCTTTAGAGTTTATCTTGGTATTTATGGCCCTCATCACCATTGTGCCTCAGCTTCTTCCTGGTGGCTTTTGGCTTCTCAAGCTCCCAGTCAGCTGGGGAGCAGCTGCACTGGAATGTAGTTGTGTTGGTGGGAGGCAGCACTGTTTGGGTTGCTCGCTGGGGGAAGTCATTGAAACTTGGTGTTGCAGTCCTGGGTCCAAGAAGGATGAGGACCACTGGTGCCATGAGCATGGGAGCGACCGAGCAGCCTGGCCAAGGGCTTCTGGCTGACAGTGGCTGCATGGTACCAATGTCTTGTGCCTTAGAGGAGCAGCAGATGAAAGATTGTGGCATTTCCACAACTGCTCTTACCTTGTCTTTTGTCACTGCCCTACCT